CTTGGGTGCTGTCCCCGCACTCTTCAGCTCAAGGCAAGTTCTCTACTGCTTGAGCCACAGCGCCACTTCTGTTTTTTTAGTGGTTTATTGAAGAGAAGACTCTTACGAGGACTTTTCTGCCTGGGCTGGCTTTGAACCATGATCCTTACATCTCAGCCTCCTTAGTAGCCAGGATTACAGGCATGAACCACCAGCGCCCAGCTGGACCTCAGTTCTCTTATGGATGAATACCTAGTAGCTAGAATAACAGGTGTGAACCACTATACCCAGCTTTTTATTGGTTGAGATGGGTTTTGCTAATTTCTTGCTTAGGCTTGAACCACTATCCCCTGCTTGTGTGAGCCTCCAAGCATCTTTCTTCCCTCTTCTCTCAGCGGAAGCAGGAATTCATGTCAACACCTGCTTTAGCTCCATGACTCCAGAATCTACCAGGTTGCTAGCTCAGTCTCTGGAACCTTCTTTTCACTTGCCCTTCCCCATGGGCTCCTTGGCCTTTTATCTATTATTGATATTCACTTATGATTTATAGGTAATGGCCCTGAGTGCCCACTTCCTCCCTTTGCAAACTTGTGGTCTGTATAATTCCCTAATTGGTGCAGAGCTTGGAATTCTTCTTACCACAAAGCCCCAGGTATCCATCCGCCAGGGAAATGTGTTTATTCTCTCCAGGTTAGGCAGTGGACTTGACCTTCATTCTCATTGGGGGATCCCATGTGATCTGGGGATGGAGGATCCCCACTGGGCCCAGGCCTGGTACTGCCAGGCTTGGGGGGCCTTTGGCCTCTACTCTTGGGGACACCCCCCCCCAGCTCTTCACCTGCATCCAAAGCTGGGATGGGGAAACAAGGCCAGGACTCGGCGTGATCTGCCACGGGCTGGTTCTAATGCCCAATGGGCGGCAGCCTGGCCCACAAGACCCCCCTCCCCCACCCCAGCTCTCTTCCCCAGATGGCTCCAATTAAAGGGCTTTTGTTTTGTTTCCATTTTCCCAAAATAAGCCTCCAGTTTGGAGCTCCCTGGGCTTGGTGAGTGCCGGATGTGGGCTGGAGTGGTTTTATGAGCATGCCTGGGTGGATCCTGACAGGCTTCGGGACCCAGCTGGTGGGGGGCCAGGTGACAGGGCTTTGGTGCTGCTGAGCCTCCGTGGGCATGGATGACCCAGGAGGTGAATGCTGGGAGCAGCAGGCTGCCCCGCCCCGACTCCAGAGAAGTCCCTTCTATCTGGAGACCCTGGCAAGGCAGCTGGCTCCATGCTGCAACTTTGGGGGCTTGAGGTCAAGTGGGGACTCAGCTATTTTCTCTCTCTCTCTCTCTCTCTCTCTCGTTGAACCCAGGGCCTGCCCTATGTTAGGCAGTGCTCTACCACTTGAACTACGCCCCTCTCCCCCCCCCCCAGCCCTTTGAGTTCTGCTGAGATGGGGCCCTCCCTAACTTTACTAGGCTTGCCTGGAACCCCCATCTCCTGTCTCCATCTCCCAAGCAGCTGGAATCACAGGCATGTGTGGCCCCGCCTGGCTGAGCCTCAGCTGTTTCTGCATGGAGTCTGGGGATCTTTTCTCTTTTCTCCTTCCCAAGCTTTACATTCCCCATCTGTGAAACGCGTTGTGGCTCTGCCTGGGTCTCTGGTGGGCAGCGCACAGAAAGCACTCAGCAGCTGCTGGACACACAGTAGGTACTCAGCCCCACGGGGTGAATCGGGATGCTTGGGAGCCAAGTAAATGCGGAACAGTGTTCCAGGCAGAGGATGGAACAGCATACTGGATGTTAGGAGGGGAGGAGGAAATGCCCAAGCAGCAGCATTCCGCACTTAGCAATCAAGAGGGGTGATGGATGACTCTTTGGACCAGGCTTCCTGCCCCGACACACTTGTCTGCCTTATTCTCGTGGCTTATTGGCCCCTGGAGTTTGTGGGGGGTCAGGGCTATGGCTGTGGATTTGATCCTCACCGTTTAGAAGTTGAGGTGGCTTACTGGTGGCTCAGGCCTGTAATCCTAGCTACTTAGGAAGCTGAGATCTAAGGATCACGGTTCAAAGCCAGCAGGGAAGTCCGTGAGACTTGAACCTCCGATGAACCACCAAAAAGTTGGCAGTGGAGCTGTGCTCAAGTGGTACAGTGCTAGCCTTGAGTGAAAAGGCTGAGGGACAGAGTTCAAGCCTCAGGATTGGCACAAAAGGTGATAGATGGATAGATAGATAGATAGATAGATAGATAGATAGATAGATAGATAGATAGATGGATGGATGTGGGCTGTTTCCTCTCTCATCCTCTGGCAGAAACTTCTGCAGACTTCTGCATTATCTGAGCCCCGGGTGCAGCCTTCTTGACCCTTCTAATCCCAACGAACCATGGCCCCGGGGCACTGTGATGTCTCTGCGTCTCCCTTACCCCCCTGGCGTGGCAAGGAAGGAGAAGGAGAAGCAGTAACGATTGCCAGCGCGTGATGGGCTTTGTTCGCATGAAACCCGGTGACAGCCTTTTTCCAACAGTGCCTCTCGCTGCCAACTACCTTTTAAGTGGCTGCCAGCTCCCGCCCCAGAGGTGTCTGGCTGTTGTGTGTTTACCACACAGTACATCCCAGCCAACTTCCTGCAGCCTGTGCTGGCAGCTTCCGAGAGGCACGTCTGGGCACCCTGATCCCGCACTGTGGGTGTCACATGCTTCCTTTTAGAACACTAGGAGCCAGGGTGCCAAAGCTATGCTTCCAGAACTCCAAAAAACATCTTAAAACAGAACATGGCAAGGCGGATGCCTTTTTTTTTTTTTAATTATTTTGTAAAATTGTGTTTTCTCCAGATTTAAATTAGAACAAGCTTCTTGAGAGAAAATTGGGGAAAATACAGAAAAACTGCAAAGGGAGGAGAAGCTGCTGCCGGCCCTGACGGATAAACACACTACCCACTGGAGGGCTCGCATTTCCCTTATCCTTTTTTAAACTAAATCAGACATTTATTTCCCAAAAAATACTCTTTCGAACTTTTGTTTCTCTCAAGTTTTAATGACTAGTGACTTTCAAATGCTAAAAATAAAATCAAGCTTCATTAGCTTTGAACTTGAACTCAGGGCCTTGCTTGTGCTAGCCACTCACTCAACTACTTTTCTACCACTTTGTTCTAGTTCGTTTTCAGGTAGGGTCCATACTCCCTCCCCCTTGCCCTTGGGAGCCTGGACCTGACACTCTGTGTAGCTGATACTGTAGGTGTGAGCCACCACAGCTGGCTTATGAAATGGAGTTTTGTTAACTTTTGGCAATCCTCCAGATCTCTGTCTCCCAAGTAGCCAGGATTACAGGCATGAGCCACTATGCTCAGCTGACTTCTTAGGGATCTGGAAATATACAATCCGTATTCTACACATAGAATCCTGTCCTTTTCTTTTTTTCTCTCAACGTTTGACTGCAGCTTTTCTCATATAGTGAACTGTCTTGGTGGCTTCAGGAATTGTGAGAATTTATATCCTGTCATTTCTTCAGCTTTTCCCACACGGTCCTAATTTTTCCTTGGGTACACAGCGTCTTGTGTAGTTCTCGTGTGAATCCCCCCAGGCAAGGCTCCTCTATCCAAGGCTGGGAAGGCTTTTGTGACTTCTCGTCCACGACACCAAGCAGCCTCCCTAAAGGACCAATAGATTTATGTGTCTACCCTTGCTCTTTTATTGTGGTCAAATGCACCCACAGTCTCCCAGACCCCTTTTAAGTTGGCATTCGGTGCCATGGAGCACATTCGTGTTGTGCAACCTTGGCTGCCCTCCAGCCACAGGGCTTTGCCTCTTGAGAAATGGAAATCTGCCCCCTCTAAACACTGACTCCTGTGGAGGGTCTCCAGGGAGACTCTGTGGCCACTATCAGCCACCTCCATCCCCCTAAAGTTTCGTCCTGACCCCCTAGGCCCTGGCAACCACTAGGTCACTTTTGTGGTCCTTAGTGACTCTGTCCTGGCATTCAGTGTGGCCATGAATGGCCGTGTGGTCTCTGGTTGGCTTTTGCCTTGCCAGAATGCTTTCTTCCGAAGCCTGAGAAATAAGGTGGGGGGCGAGGGGAGGGGGAGTTTCTGGCTGTGGCCACAAAGGACTGTAGGTGGGTAGGGGGCCCCGGCTTTGGCCACAAAGGACTATGGGTAGGGGGCCCTGACTGTGGCCACAAAGGACTGTGGGTAGGGGGCTATGCAAGATCCCTTTCCCTGCGGTGGCTGAGCTGCTGTTTAATGTGTGGAAGGCTGCACTGGACGCTGTGATGCTGGTCTAGACCTGTGTTGGGAAATCTGTATCCAGAAAGAAGTTAGAAGCTTGGGAAGATGAGGGGTACAGAGATTTTTGTTAGGGCTGGGGAAGCATGGTGAGGGGTCCGTGGTCATTGTAAGGGAGTCCGGGTAAAGGCACAGGTAGAAGGGTGGGCTTGGTTGGGCTGTGGTAAAAGACAACTTTCTAAAGGTAGAACAGCTTTTCCCACATGTGATCACATCCCATTGCTAGAGATATTTGGCAGTACCAAGGCTCTTTACTCTAGGCTGGCACACTACCACTTGAGACCCTAGCTCTTAAGAGCCACGCCCCTGGCTCTGAGGACACGCCCCTAACACTTGAGCCACGCCCCTACCTCTTAGGGCACGCCTCTAACGCTTGAGCCACGCCCCTAGCTCCTAAGCTGCTCTATCTTGTCCACTGGTACTTGAGCTATGCCCTTGCGCTACGAGATTCATGCCCCTGAGCAGTAAGCCACGCCCACGACACTTAAGCCACACCCTGACACTCGAGCCACGCCCCACGCGATTAAGCCACGCCCCGTGGGCCACGCCCACTGGAGCTCCTTGGGCAGAAAGCAGAGGCTGCGGTGTGGTGCCATGCGGGTTCCACGCGGTGTCGCCGGGCTGTGCCAGCTCCCAGCTGGCCTCACCAGCCCGCGGCCGCGCCTGAGCTCCTGGCAGCCTCCCATCGCGCTGCCCTGGGTCCGGGATGGCCGCTTGCCCTTCCTTCCGTAACATGGGCCCGCACCCCCTGGTCGCAGGGAAGGCCTACGAGATCACCTACGTGAGGCTCAAGTTCCACACCAGCCGCCCCGAGAGCTTCGCCATCTACAAGCGCAGCCGCGCGGGCGGCCCCTGGGAGCCCTACCAGTACTACAGCGCCTCCTGCCAGAGGACCTACGGCCGGCCCGAGGGCCAGCGCCTGCAGCCCGGCCAGGACGAGCGCGTGGCCTTCTGCACCTCCGAGTTCAGCGACATCTCCCCGCTCAGCGGCGGCAACGTGGCCTTCTCCACCCTGGAGGGCCGGCCCAGCGCCTACAACTTCGAGGAGAGCCCGGGGCTGCAGGTCAGAGAGGCGGCCTTGGGGGTGGCCAGGGCCGGGTGGCCGGGCTGGGGACAGCCAGAGAGTCAACCCTGGCAGGACCCCCGAGCCCTGATGATCTCACGGTTTGCATGCCTCAGGCCTTCCAGGCTTAAATCTTCTCCGAATGGTTAGTCGTGGATAGATGGAAGCGAGCAGGTGTGGTGGTTGGTGCATGACTGTAATCCCAGCACTCACTGGGGAAGCTGAGGCAGAAGGATTTCCTGTCAGGGCTGGTTTCCAGTCTCCGTCCTCACATCTCAGCCTCTTGACTAGCTAGGGTTACAGGGGTGAGCCACCGGCACCGGCCTAAATCTGGGAGACTTATCTCTCATTAATCAGCAAAAGGCTAAAAATGGAGCTATGGCTCAAGTAGTAGAGGGCTATCCATGAGTGAAAAAGCTAAAGGACAGTGCTCAGGCTCCAGTATCAGCCCAAAAGAAGAGAGAGGAGAGAGGGAGGAGGGAGAGAGACTGCTTCAAGGGCTGATCAGGCAAGGAGGTGTGCCTTTCCCCAGCTCCCTTGGCTTCTCTTTACATGGGGGGAGTGGGAAGAAGGCCTAGACCCCTCCCCCAGCTGGAACTGTTTCTAGAACTTTCTGCAGTGGGACAGCAGTGGGACAGCCTCCATGTGCCTTCTGGGCTTTTAGGAGGGTCAGCTGGCAAGGACCAAAGCCATCAAGTCATGCAATGAAGGACTCGTAGTTATAGAGTACGTGGAAGGGGACTGGCTTGCTGAATTTACCATCTGACTTTGTTTTCCTGATATCTCACAGCAGTAGGCACCTGCGGCTTACTAAGAGAGCCGCACAGCTGCACAGAGTAGAAGGGGGCTTGTCTCCACTTTGGGGTTTTGGCAGTACTGAGATTTGAACTCAGAACCTGATTGGTAGGCAGATGCTCTACTGCTCAGCCACGACCCCCCCAGCCCTCAATACCACTTTGGAGATCAGCTCTGGTCCTCATGATAGCAGTATGGGTCCCCCCCTAAACACCCCCCCAAGCCCCAAACCCTGGGTTTGTGGCCTTGGGTTTGGGTCCAGACAGGCCTCAGTCACACGGTCAGAGCCTCCAGCTGGGACATCAAGTGGTTCACATTCTCTGGGCGACACTGCTGCACAGAGGTCCGGGACGACTCTTGGAGGTGGGGGCTTCCAGGCTGGGGGCTGCTGCGAGGTAAAGCCCTCACACAGCATGCAGGGGACGCTGGGCTGACCGAAGTGCTGCAGAAAGCCAAATGGAATGTGCCAGTGTCACCCGCAGCTTCTCGGCGAGAACCTGCACTTACCCGCTCTCCCAAGGTGCCGTGACCTTTGCAGAGCCGGCCTTGGGTGAGCGCAGGAGTGACAGCCGCACAGGGCTGCGCGCAAAGCCCGGCCAGGCCTGCGTCATGCTGCGATGAGAAGACAGACTGGGCCAGGAGCTCATTTTCTGTTCTGATGGCCTGATTGCTTAGCCAGGGGCTCCTGGGCTGAATTAAAATGCTGATTAATATTCAGCCGGAGCTGGCTCTGATTATAACAGCAGGCGGATGGAAATGTCAGCCTGCACGTGGGCCCTCACTTCCTCACCACGCTCTTCCACGAGGAAGTGGCTCAGCCAGCCCTCAGCAAGTATTTACCAAATACCTGGTGTGTGCCAGGCAGCGCTGGGTGCGGGAGGCGGCCGCGGTCCGAACAAGGGCTCCAAGGCCTCCCTGGGCCAGGCTTGCCTGCTGCTGAGACACCTGGGCCACGGCCCTCGGAGCAATGAGGGTGTGGGCCCCAGAGGTTGGAGATCGCAGCTCCCCTACTGCTTCCCGGAGCAGGTGGCAGGCCTTGCTGGCGTCACCACCCCCCCTCACCACCCTGCACCCTCTCTGTCTGCACACTGTCCCTGTCCCAGCTCACTGCTGGGGAAAGAGAGGCACCAAGACATGGAACCACATCCCCAAAGTGGCAAGCAGCCCCTCCCAGGCCAGCATGACCCAGAGGCCTGGTTCCTTGCAACCGGGAGCCCACCCCAGGGACACCAGGCTGGCAGCAGAGCCTGGGGCACCTGCTGAGGGCACCGGGTCCTGTTCCCCTAGGACTGGGTCACCAGCACGGAGCTCCTCATCTCCCTAGACCGGCTCAACACATTTGGGGATGACATATTCAAGGACCCCAAGGTTCTCCAGTCCTACTACTATGCAGTGTCTGACTTCTCCGTGGGCGGCAGGTAATCTGGGTGGAACCCAGGAGTGGGGTGGAGTCTGGGCGGAGGGCGGGGCAGATGGGGGCGGAGCCCAGAGCGGAAGGAATAGCTGATGGCCCAGCCAGAGCTGGAGAGGCAAGACCCTGGTCCTCAGCTCCCAGCGTCTTTCTGCCTTCCCAGCCCACCGCCACTGAGTTCCCCTGTCTGTTCCCACACTGAGCCTCACCCAACGCAGGGGGCCCTTGTGCCTTCTCTTCCCTCTGCCTAGGGGTCCTTCCTCCTCCTGGATCTCTTAGCCCCAGAGCTAGCCACCAGCAGTCACTCTGTCCCCCTCCTGGGGTCTCAGACCATCTCTGCAGGGAATCCAAGGGCCCTATGGTAGATGATCTCTCCATGGTCTACTGTGGCCAAGAAGTGGGGGAGGGGGGAGGGTCCCTTCTGTCTCTGGGCTCCCAGAGCCTGGTTGGAGCAGTGGAAAGAAACAGGCAAGGCGGAGGCTCAGTTTTCTTCTTGAAAGGTGAAAAGACCATGTTCCCACCCCAGGTCCAGTAGGGCAGCCTGCAGGAATCCAGTTGCTCCCAATAAACCCATCAGTACCCCCCACCCCCACCCCAGTACTAAAGGACAGGAAGAGCCCGCACCAGTGACTCATGCCTGTAATCCTAGCTAAACTGTGAGACTCTTTTTTTGGGGGGGGGGTTTGGTTGTGGGGCCTGAATTCTGGGCCTGGGCGCTGTCCCTCAGCTTTTCAGCTCAAGGCTAGCGCTCTACCACTTGAGCCACAGTGCCACTTCCGGCTTTTTTCTTTTTTCTTATGTGGTGCTGAGGAATCGAGCCCAGGGCCTCATGCATGCAAGGCAAGTGCTTTACCACTGAGCCACCTTCCCATCTCCAATGAACCAGCAAAAAGCTGGAAGTAGAGCTGTGGCTCAAGGGGTAGAGCACTAGCCTTGATCAAAAAAGCTCAGGGTCAGCACCCAAGTCCTGAGTGTAAGCTCCAGAACAGGTGTGCACGCATGCATGCACACATGCACACACATACACACACACAAGACAGAAGAAGATCAGCATTCCAAAGCCAGGGAACAGCTCTACAGAAGTGCTGGAACGGGGTGGGGGAGACTATAAGGGGTCCAGGCAAAGCCCCAGCCGGTGGGAGACCAGGCTGGAGAGAGGGCCAGGGCCACAGGTTCCAAGGGTTCCTCTCCTGTGGTCAGTGAGAAGCTGAGACACGCAGCCTTGGCCAGCCACGGGAGAGTCAGCTTGGGCCATGGGGGTGTGTGTGTGTGGCCCTGAGAGCAGTTCAAGACAGAAAAGCAGCCTGTCGTGGGGCGGGGGGGGGGGGGGTGGCAGGTAGGCAGTGAGACAATGCCCAACCATGGACTCAGGACGCTGAGAGGTGGGGAGAGGCTGTGGCCCCGCTGCTGTCCCAGCCCCGGTGGACCTCGCTGGAGCGGGCTCTGCGAGGATGGCGAGGCCTTGATCCCCAGCGCCTGAGAACATCTGGGCCCCAGCTGCCGGGACCAGACCACCCTCAGACCACAGCTGGTGGGAAGTCCGTGCCCCGAGCTGGAGGCCACAGGGGCCACTCCGGACGGGGATGGCGGCCAAGGAGGGCCAGGCTGTGCCGCGCATGCCGTGTCACCGCCACATTCCTGCCCCACTCCACCCGTTGCTTCATCCTGCAGGTGACGGGGACACAGACCAGGGTTGCCCTCAAAAGCACAGATTTAATAGGTACCAGTGACTCACCCCTGGAATCCTAGCTGCCCAGGAGGCTGAGATCTGAGGATCACGGTTCAAAGCCAGCCCAAGCAGGGAAATCTGTCTTTTTTTTTTTTTTTGGCAGTCGTGGGGCCTGAACTCTGGGCCTGGGTGCTATCTCTCAGCTCTTCAGCTCTACCACTTGAACCACCGCGCCACTTCTGGCTTTTTCTGCTTATGTGGTGCTGAGGAATCAAATCCAGGGCCTCATGCATGCAAGGCCTGAGCTCTACCACTGAGCCACCTTTCCAGCCCTCCGTGAGACTCTTACTCCAATAAACCACCGGAAAACCAGAAGTGGCGCTGTGACTGAAGTGGTAGAGCGCTAGCCTTAACCTGAAGAGCTCAGGGACAACGCCCAGGCCCAGAGTTCAAGTCCCACAACCAACAAAAAAAAACAACAAAACAGAGACTCTGAGGATTTGGGATAGGATGGGAAATGTTCCCTGTACAGGCTACCTCTGTGTGTGCACACATGTGTGTATGCGCGTGCACACACATGTGCATGTGTGCCCAATCTGGGGCTTGAACTTGAGGCCTAAGTGCTATTCATGAGCTCTTTGGCTCAAGCTACCACTTGAGCCACAGCTACTTCTGACTTTTTGTGGTTAATTGGAGATAAGGACTTTTCCTAACCTGTGCTGGCTTTGAACCCTGATCCTCATGTCTCAGTCTCTTGAGCAGCTAGGATTACAGGTGTGAGCAAGCTCCTGGCAAGGCCGCCTCTCAAAGAGAAAGACTTGCCCAGGGCAGCCTCCCGGCCCTCCTTCACTCATTGTGTCCTACCTGCCCTCTTGTCACTGGGGGAGACCCAGGGGTCCACCTCCTGGGTTCTTGGCCCTGGGAAGGCCCTGCCCAGGCAGATGGCAATGTGGGGTGGCAGTCTCCTTGATAAATCCATCAGCAATGGGACAGGGAATATGGTGGGGTTTCCTGTGTCATGTTCTCCTCCCTCCTGTCTGCCTGTGTTATGTTTTTATTTGTTACTGGTTGTGGGGCTTGAACTCTGGGCCTGGGCCCTGTCCCTCAGCTCTTCAACTCAAGGTGAGCACTCTGCTACTTGAGCCACAGCGCCACTTCCGGTTTTCTGGTGGTTCATTGGAGCTGAGTCTCACAGACTTTCCTTCCAGGGCTGGCTTTGAACCATGATCCTCAGATCTCAACCTCCTGAGTAGCTAGGATGACAGGCGTGAGCCACGGGCCCCAGCCTCTGCATTCTTTTGTTTCCTTTTGTTATGGTGGAGACTGGGTTTTGAACTCGTGGTTCTGTGCTCAGTCCAGTCTGTTTGCCCAGTCTGTCTCTAACCCCTCGGGCCTGGCCTCTGACCTTCCCCCAGGTGCAAATGCAACGGCCATGCCAGCGAGTGCGGCCCCGACGGGGCGGGCCGGCTGGCCTGCCGCTGCCAGCACAACACCACGGGCGTGGACTGCGAGCGCTGCCTGCCCTTCTTTCAGGACCGCCCGTGGGCCCGGGGCACCGCCCAGGCCGCCAACGAGTGTCTGCGTGAGTGTCCCCCAGAGTCAGGGACCCCGGAACCGCGCAGCTCCGGGGTGGGTCCCTGGGCAGCTGCGGAGGCAGGGGAAGCGCAGGATGGGGGAAAGGGGGGGTGAGCCTTGATCCCCTCCCACCCGTCAGTCCCCCAAGACAGTCTTTGATGTAGCTGCTGAGTCCCACCAGGACCACCCCCCCCCCGCCCGCAGTGGGGGGCTGAGCCTGCCCCTCGGCCCCCACCCCCACCCCCACTCTTCCTCCTCCTCCCCTTTGATGTCCTGACTAGCAGGGCTGCCCCTCCCCCGCCCCAGCTGTGCACAGCGCCGCGCCTGCCCCGCCCCGCGTGGGTCCTGGGTCCAGAGCCCCGCCCGGCCTCCCCACACCTCCCCAGCCCTCATCTGCTCTGACTGGGTCACACCCCCTCCGCCCCTCCCACCCTGCCCCACCCGGCCGGAGCTGCCAGGCTCTGGGCCCTGCTGTCCCGGGCTGGACCCCTGGCTGCCAGAGCCAGGACAGCGCGGGCCACTTGTCCCCCCACCAATGCCCCTTCCCCCGCACCACAGGGTCAGCGGCCCTGCCCGCAGGTCGCCTTCCTTCTGTATTGCTCCCTTCCCCCATGTCACGCCCCTCAGGGCCTGGCCCTGCCATCTCCTGCTACTGCCACGCCCCCACCACGCCACGCCCTGCTACTGCCACGCCCCCACCCTGCCACACCCCTGCTACTGCCACGCCCCTGCTACTGCCACGCCCCCATCCTGCCACGCCCCCATCCTGCCACGCCCCTGCTACTGCCACGCCCCCACCTGCCACGCCCCTGCTACTGCCACGCCCCTGCTACTGCCACGCCCCCATCCTGCCACGCCCCTGCTACTGCCACGCCCCTGCTACTGCCACGCCCCCACCCTGCCACCCCTGACACACCACGCCCCCTGGCATGCCCCGCCCCGCCCCTGGCATGCCCCGCCCCGCCCCTGGCATGCCCCGCCCCCTGGCATGCCCGGCCCTCCCTCCCCGCTGCCCAGCCCCGCGGCTTCGCGGCCCGCGGCTTCCCCCCGCCCCAGGCTCTCGCCGTTGTCCGTGGTGCCCGTGGTGCCCGCGGTGCCCTGGGCAGTAGCCCGTTGGGAAACCTGGAGCGGTGTCCTTGATGGAGCCGGACCTGAGCTCCATCCTGGACTCGTGCCGGTCCCTGCCTCCCCTCTCCAGCCCCAGGAGAGTGAGTGGCGCCGGCCGCTCACCGCCCCCTGGCCGCCCACAGCCTGCAACTGCAGCGGCCGCTCGGAGCAGTGCACCTTCGACCGCGAGCTCTTCCGCAGCACCGGCCACGGCGGCCGCTGCCACCGATGCCGCGATCACACGGCCGGGCCCCGCTGCGAGCGCTGCCGGGAGGCCTTCTACCGCTGGGACCCGCGGGCTGCGTGTCAGCCCTGCGACTGCCACGCAGCAGGTGAGCCGAGGGAGCCAGGCCTCCAGCCCTCCCTCCCTCCAGCCCTCCCTCCCCTCCCCCTCCCCCCAACCCACCCTCCTCTCCCTCGCTCCCTCCCTCCCCCAGGCTCCCTGAGTCTCCAGTGTGACCACGAGGGAATCTGCTCCTGCAAGCCCACGGTGACCGGCTGGAAGTGTGACCGCTGCCGGCCTGGGTTCCACTCGCTCAGCGAGGGTGGCTGCAGGTGAGGGGCCGGGTGGCGTCCGGAAGGGGCAGGGGCAGCGAGAACAATGCAAGCTGTTCCTGCCTACCACCAAGGCCACAGAGGGACCCGGGGCAGGGTTCCAGGTAGGGGTGCCAGGCAGGGCTGAGAGACAAGCTCCCAGTGAGGCTCCCTGCCTGAGCAGGGAGGGAGGAAGAGGGAGGAGAGGGCTGGCGCAGAAGCAGCCTAGGGAGCAGCTGAGGACCAGGTGGTGTGGGAGGGCTGAGACCAGAGGCGGTGGAGGTTCTGATCTTGGAGCTGCAGGGGGACCTGGCCTTGTTTGAAGAGGGAGGGGGAAGGGAGAGGGATGAGCATATTCTAGACCCGGGGGGGAGGGGTGTAGTATGAGGTCACAGGAGATGGAAGTGGAAGAAGGAAGATGATCTTTGGAGTTGTGCCTTTTCACTCAGACTGGTGCACTACCACTTGAGCCACACCTCCAGTCTGCCCTAAGGGTTCTACCCAGGCCATTTGAGCAAGTAGGGGGCTGGGAAGGGAGATGCAGAGCTTTGGGTTCGTGCACTACATGTGCAGTACCCAGAGAACCAGCCAAAGGGTCGGGTGGGGGGAGGGGGCCGGGAAAAGGAGTCTAGCACCCCCGCCAGGGCGCAGCGAGAATGCGCAGGACCACAATGGAAAATCAAGCTCCTAGTAACTCCGAAGTGCCTGCGTGGGCGCCTGGTGACAGGGGCGGCAGCTTGATTCTAGTCACCGAAATGAAATGACCCGTGCTGCTCACTGGTGGAGCACTTGCCCAACACGTGTGCGAGCTCCAGGTTCCATTCCAGCATCACATACGTGCACACACACACATTCCTCATCTTGTGCATGGATGCACACTTGCACCCACATAATGCACAGAGTGACCCCGCTGCTCCCACAGGCCCTGGCCTCTGGACATTTGCACACGCCATTCTTCTGCCCTGGAGTGTGCTCCTTCCCCACAAGCCCTGCCTCCCCCAGGCTGTCTGTCAGACTCCTACTCAAGCCTCTTCCCAGCTCAGGTGGCTCCCCCTCAGGGGTCTCCCCTGACCCTGTGACCTCTGTCCCCAGCCCCACGCCAGGCCTGAGGCCCCTCTGCAGGACTGCATCCCTGTGCACCTCCCCCACAGCACACTCCTCCTGTAATCTGTGCTCCCGGACTGATGGGTGGATAGGAGGATAGATGGGTGTATGGATGATGGATGGATAAATAAATGGATAGATGGATGGTGGATGGATTAATGGATGGATGGATAGATGATAGATGATGGATGGGTGGATGGATGGATGGATGGGTGGTGGATGGATGGATGAATGAATGGATGGATGATGGATTAATGGATGAATGGATAGATGATGAGTGATGGATGATGGATGGATGGATGGATGGGTGGATGGATGATGGATGGATGGGTGGATTAATGGATGGATAGATGATGGATGATGGATGGGTGTATGGATAGTGGGTATATGGATGGATGGATGGATTAATGGATAACTAGGTAGAAGATGATGGATGGGTGGGTGGATAGATGAATGCATGGGTGGATTATAGATGGATTGGTGGATGGATGATGGATGGATGGTGAAGGGATAGATGAATACGTGGATGAATGGATGGATGACAGGTGGATGGATAATAGATGGGTGATAGATGTATGGATGGATAATGGGTGGATGATGGATGGATGATAGATGGGAGATGGGTGGATAATGGGTGGATAGGTGGATGGATGATGGATGGGTAGATGGATGAGTGGGAGGATGGATGGGTAGATGATGGGTGGATGGTGGATGGATGGTAGATGGGTGATGAGTGGATGAACGGATGGATGGATGGCTAGGAGGATGATAGATGGAAGGGTGGATGGATGAGTGAGTAGGAGGATGGATGGGTGGATGGCTGATGGCTGATAGATGAGTGGGAGGGTGACTGGGTGGATGATGGGTGGATGATAGATGGGTGAGGGAAGGATGAAGGATGAATAGATGGGTGGGTGGATGAGGGATGGAAGGACGCAGGGTGGATACACACCGGAGGGGTCATGCCGGTAGAGGGGTGACTGGCAGGCATAGGCAGAGGAGTCCTGTTCCCGGGTGGACGACTCACTTCCTGGCAGGACTGGGGTAGCGAAGGCGGTTGCAGGCCCAGCCGTCCTGCACTGGGCTCCGGGAGCGGGGAAGGGCAGGGAGCTTGCCAAGGGCGGGGCTCTCCCTCTGGAGCCTCGCAGGATCCGGGCCCTGACGCCGAGTCTCGGTCAGGCCCTGCATGTGCAGCGTGGCGGGCAGCCTGGGCACCTGTGACCCCCGCAGCGGACACTGTCCCTGCAAGGACAACGTGGAAGGCAACTTGTGCGACAGGTGGGTGAGCCGATCGCTGATCGCCCGGAGCTGCTGGGAGAGACCTCGGGGGTCACCAGTGAGGCTCCGGGGCTGAGCAGGTGGGGGGGGGAGGGCGGGGGCAGGGGGAATGGGCAGCCCCATCAGCCCACTTCCTTCCTGGACTGCCATGGAGCTGCCCTGCAGGAAGCCCCCCCAACCCCAGGCTGTAAGGCAGTGTTAACACCCTACCCACATGCCATCGATGCTTCGTGAGCTGAGAAAATCTTTTTCTCCAACTCAGAATCCTGAAAATAAAAAGACAGACTGGAAAGAACGTGTGTAGCCCAGGCAGAAAGGCAGGGCATGCTGGCCACTACTCTCCCATCTCACCTCAGGGCAGACATAACTAATGGAGCCATGTACTCTTTACAACCCTCCTGTCTCACTCCAGGACAGACATAACTAATGGAGCCCCATACTCAGGGCACACAGTAACCTCAGCATCCAACTGAGTTGAGATCTGAGCCATCCCTGCAATCACCAGGCAAAGGTTACAAGGTTCTGGAGGCCGCCAGACAAACCTGGTTTTGCCTCCCAGGGGACACAGCCTCCTCCTGGCTCTGGGTCTGACATCAGAAGGGCTGTACCACACCAAAGCCGAGTGTCTGGCCCCAAGTCTCGAGTCTCGCTTGATCTGGGCTGCCCAGATCTCGAGTTGGCAGGGTCTAAAAAAAAAAAGTCCCAGAGAGATTGTAAGAACCTAGAAAGAAGCCAGGTGCCGGTGGCTCACGCCTGTCATCCTAGCTACTCAGGAGGCTGAGATTTGAGGATCACAGTTCAAAGCCAGCCTGGGAAGGAAAGTCAGTGAGACTCTCATCACCCATAAACCACCAGAAAACTGGAAGTGGCTCTGTGGCTCAAGAGGTAGAGCGCTCACCTTGAGCTGAAGAGCTGAGGGACAGAGCCCAGGCCCAGAGTTCAAGCCCCACGACCAAAAAAAAACCCCCAGAAAGACAGAGGCTGTCACAGCTGGGAGGAGGGCTGGGGAGGTGGCTCAGTGGTAGAGCGTTTGCCTTGCATGCATGAGGCCCTGGGTTCCATTCCTCAGCACCACATAACAAAAAGAAAAAAGCTGGAAGTGGCGCTGTGGCTCAAGTGGTAGAGCACTAGCCTTGAGCTGAAGAGCTGAGGGACAGCGCCCAGGCCCAGAGTTCAGGCCCCACGACTGACAAAAAAAAAAAAAAAAAAAACCACAGCTGGGAGGAGGCGGGAGCTTGTGAGTTCCTGGACGTGAGGCCAGCACCGGGGGTGTGGGGTTGCTCTCATACCCCTTCTGCCACTCCCAAAGGGAAGCGTTCATTTCAGCTGCCCCCCCCCGCCCCCGCCCCCCTCTGGCCCCGCATCACCGCGCCCTCATGGGCTGGTCCTGCCTTCCTTACAGATGCCGCCCGGGCACCTTCAACCTCCAGCCCTACAACCCCACCGGCTGCACCCCCTGCTTCTGCTTTGGCCACTCTACCGTGTGCACCGTGGCCCCCGGCTTCCAGACCCAGCCCGTCATCTCAGACTTCCGCCAGGGTAAGCGGCCCCTCTGGTGGAGTACTACTCACCTGTGAAGATTAGCGGGGGCCAGCCACTCACATATATAATCTTAGCTACTCAGGAGGCTGAGATCTGAGGGTCGCAGTTCAAAGCCAGCCCCGGCAGGAAAGTCAGGGAGATTCTCACCTCCAATGAACCACCAGAAAACTGGAAGTGGCGCTGTGGCTCAAGTGGCAGAGCGCTCGGCTTGAGCTGAAGAGCTCAGAGACAGTGCTCAGGCCCAGAGTTCAAGCCCCACGACAGACACCAACAACAGAACAAAAAAGATTAGCTGCCTTGAGCACCCCCACACTGGGGATTTGGGCCCAGCCCCTTGGTGTCCCTCATTCCCTGAGGCCCCCTGGGGTACCTGAGACCTCCTGAGCACAAAGCCTCTGTGGGGGCCTTCCAGGGGCTCAGCCACATCTGCCCCAAATCAGAAACAAGCCCCACCCAGCGCCCCCACCTGCGGCCTCTCCTTCGGGAGACTGGTCCCGGGCTCCAGGGCCCAGCGTGGGGGGGAGCGCGCCCTCTGCTGGAGGCTGTGCAGAAAGCAGCTTGGTGCCAGGGGCTGGGAGCGTGAGCCGGGAGCAGTCATGGGTCCCGCTCGGCCACGCCCACCCCCGTATGACTGCGCTGGTATTGACCCAGGCTTGTGCCTGCTGTGTTCGGCCACAGAGACACCTCTCCAGCCCAACCCTCCCATCTTTTCTGTTTTTTTTTTTTTTGCACTGGTCATTGTGAGACATAGTTTTGATTTCTGCTGGCCCCCTCCCTGCCTGGACGGTGATCCCCCAGATCTCAGCCTCCTGAGCAGCGAGGCTTACAGTAGCTGACCCAAATGACTTGCTCTGAAAGGGAAACAGATGTGAGAAGCATGTCACTTTATTTTTTGACGGTCGTGGGGCTTGAACTCGGCCTGGGCGCTGTCCCTCAGCTCTTCAGCTCAAGGCTAGCGCTCTACCACTTGAGCCACAGTGCCACTTCTGGCTTTTTCTGCTTATGTGGTGCTGAGGAATCAAACCCAGGGCCTCATGCATGCAAGGCAAGCGCTCTACCACTGAGCCACCTTCCCAGCCCCCAAGCACTTTGGGCCTGCTACTTTAAGGTCTGGCTTAGCTCCTCAGCCCCATGTGTCATCATCGGTGGGATGGCATGCACCATGCAGGCCCTGGCGGCCTGCTGCCTGCCTGCCCTGACGGCAACAAGACGAAGGCTGCAAATCGGTCCTGATACAAGGAAGAGGTCATCTGCCAGGCTTGGTGGCTGACACCTGCAGTCCCAGCTGCTCAGGAAGTGAAGATCAGGAGGGCTGTGGCTCAAGGACAGCCTGGGCAAAAGCAAGACCCTCATCTCAAGCAGACTTGGCAGAGCACTTCCTGTCTGTGGCCCAGCTGCTGGGAGATGGAGGGAGGAGGATCAGGGTCCAAGGCTGGCTAGGGCAAAAAGCTTCCCTACTGGGAAACTAACTAAAGCAAAAAGGTGAGCGGGTGTGCTGGCTCACGCCTGTAATCCTAGCTACTCAGGAGGCTGAGATCTGAGGATCATGGTTCAAAGCCAGCCTGGGCAAGTTTCCTTGGGACTTCCTTGAGTCCAGGAGACTCTTATCTCCCATGAACCACCAGAAAAGCGGAAGTGGTGCTGTAGCTCAAGTGGTAGAGCGCTCGCCTTGAGCTGAAGAGCTGAGGGACAGCGCCCAGGCCCAGAGTTCAGGCCCCACAACCGACAAAAAAAAAAAAAAAAGAAAGGTTCAGGCTCAGAAACTTTAAGTAACTTCCCAGAGTCACACAGCCCCGGGAGCCTTGCTGACCGTCCCCTTCTTCCCCTCCCCCTCTCCCGGGAGGGTGCCACAGGGCCTGGAGGGCACGGGCTCTGGGCCGAGCTCAGTAGTTAACTGCCACACTGAGACCAGGGACCAGAGGCCTGGGTTTCCCTCCTGACTGCGCCCTCCCGGGGCACAGGGACGCTGACGCTTGTGCCTGGAAGGGGAGAGAGCTCCAAACACTGGGTCAGGTCTGGTGTTTTTCTTAGAGGTGAATGACCTCAGGTCTCAAGGCCTGCCTCTTCACGTGGACTCAGAACCCTTCTGAGGCTGAGTGTGGTGGCTCACACCTGTAATCCCAGCTACTCGGGAGGCAGAAACCAAGAAAATCATGGTCATAGACCAGCTTGGGCAGAAAAAAAACAAAAGCTATTGAGACCCTATCTCAACCAATACGCTTGGTGTGGCCCTATACTCCTGTCATCCCAGCTAGTAGAGACATAAGTAGCATCGTGGTTCAGGCCAGCGCAGGTATCAAAGCAAGAGCCTATCTGGAAAATGAAGTGAAAAGGCACAGGCACGAAGCCCAAAGTCGGCTGGGGGAGCCGAGCCGAGCCGGCGGACGCCCGAGTTCCCACTGCGGGGCCTCCTCCCTCCCCTCACGCGGCTCACGCATGTGTCCTGTGCTTCTGCCTAGGAGCCGACGGCTGGCGGGCCATGGGCAGCGAGGGTTCGGAGCGGTCCCCACGATGGAGTCCCAGTGGGGTGCTCTTGGGCCCCGGAGACGAGGAGCTCAGGGCGCCAGGTACCTGTGCCTGGTGGGGTGTGTGGGGACACAGGTGGGGAGGGGGGGAGGGTTCGAAGCCAGCCCGGGCAGGAAAGTCTGTGAGACGCTTGTCTCCAGTGAACCACCCAAAAGCCAGAAGTGGAGCTGTGGCTCAAGTGGTAGAGCACCAGCCTTGAGCATAAAAGCTCCGAGACAGCGTCCAGATCAAGTTCAAGTGCCAAGGATGAGTGAACACACACACACACACACACACACACACACACACACACACACACACACACACACACACACAAAAGTCAGCGTGGTGGAGATCCTCACACGCTCCTCTCTGGCCTCCAGAGCGGTTCCTGGGGGACCAGCGGCTCAGCTACGGGCAGCCGCTCACACTGACCCTCCGCGTCCCCCCCGGGGCACCCCCGCCCCCCGTGCGGCTGAAGCTGGGAGGAGCCGGCCTGGACCTGGCCCTGAAACCCTCCAGCTCCTCTGGACCCCCGGGGGCCGGACAGCCGGGGCTGCTGCAGCTCCACTTCCTGTAAGTGTGCCCGCCCTTGGCCTGGGCTGGGGTGGGCAGCGTGCTCTTCCCGGGGCGGGCACTGGGCCCAGCCCCTGCGTGGGGGGAACTTCAGCACCCATGGCTTCCCCTCTAGCCTGCAGGAGACGTCTGAGGACGCCAGCCCCCCACTGCCTGCCTTCCACTTCCAGAGGCTGCTCACCAACCTGACCATTCTGGGCATCCGGGCCAGCGGCCAAGGCACGAGCACTTCCGGTCAGTAAGATGGCAGCCAGCCTGGCCCTGGCTGGCCCCCGTTGTGTATGGCCATGAAACCCCACTGAAGTGGGCATGAGGCTCAGATCAGCACACAGCCATGGCATCGGGGCGGTGGCCGGGGACAGAGCTAAGGTCGGGCCATGGGGGCGGGGGGTGGGGGGGAGAGGGGCAGGCGGGGGGGGGCAGCCTGCGGCTAGGACTGTTAGGTCCAGCACGGATGGCTCTGTGCCCACATTGTCCCCTCCTGGTCACTGGGGGTATTGCATCCCAGCCACCCTGGAGCAGACCTCCTTTGTCAGCTCCCAAAGGAACTTGATGTGGATGACCTTTGACCTGTCCATGGTTATGGCCCCCCCCCCCCCGCCCCTGCATGCACAAGTACACACCTGTAACCCCACTACATGAGAAGCATAAATGGAGAATTGTAGTCCAGGCAGGCCTAGGTTGAAATGGGAAACTCTACCTCAAAAATAGCCAAAAACCAGCCAGACACCGTGGTTAAAGCCTGTCAGCCTAGCGACTCAGGAGGCCGAGATTGGGAGACCATGGTGTGAGACAGGACTCATGGTGGTGGTCAGGCACAGAGCGACCCCCTGGCTTGAAAAGAATCCATTTCAGGGCTGGGAAGGTGGCTCCGTGGTAGAGCGTTTGCCTTGCATGCCTGAGGCCCTGGGTTCAATTCCTCAGCACTACATAAGCAAAAAGAAAAAAGCCGGAAGTGGGCTGTGTTTCAAGTGGTAGAGTGCTACCCTTGAGCTGAAGAGCTGAGGGACAGCGCCCAGGTCCAGAGTTCAGGCCCCACGACCCACCCACCCCCCCCCCCCCAAAAAAAGAAAAGAACCCATTTCAGAGGGGACTGGTGGAGTGATTTGTGATAGAGTGCCTACTTTGCCAACAGGAGGCTGTGAGTTCAAAGCCCAGCACCACCCCCTAAAAAACTCAGATACCTCGTTCCTGTGTGTAAGGCAAAGTAGAAGGCTGAGTGTGGTGCTTCATACCTGGAATCCCAGCAATGTAGAAGGCAAATAACTAAGTGGAAAAGGGCGGGTGGGTGGGACACCTGTGGCTCACCCCCTCCTGGTTACCAGGAGAAGACAGACCAGGCGGACAAACCCTAGAGACTCTTACCTCCAATTAACCAGCAAAAACAAGAAACTGGGGTGTGGTTCAAGTGGTAGTGTTTTACAGGAACTAGATCAGCGAGATACAGAGAAGCTACGTTGTGAGAGGTAGAGTCTTTATTTGAAAGCCGGTGACTGTGGTCTCCTGCCCAAAGACCTGCAGCCCCAAGTGCAGTTATTACAGAACTTACAAGCCAAAAAAAATACCCACACCCAGGGGGCTGGGAAGGTGGCTCAGTGGTAGAGTGTTTGCTTAGCATGCATGCAGCCCTGGGTTCGATTCCTCAGTACCACATACACAGAAAAGGCTGAAAGTAGGCTGTGGCTCAAGTGGTAGAGCACTAGCCTTGAGCAAAAGAAGCTCAGGGACAGTGCCCAGGCCCTGAGTTGAAGCCCCAGGACTGGCCAAAAAGAAAAAACATACAGCAAAGCAGATGTCACATGGTCTAGGGACTAGCAAAGCATCTCCTACGGGAGAAAGTTATCTAGGAGGAGCAATCTAGGACAACCAAGGGCAATTGTTCTCTGGGGCAAAACTTTCCTGGAGCTAAACAACTCTGAAGCACCTGCAAAGTAAAGAACACCACCTCGGGGGCTGCTTACCCACCCACCACACCACTGCAGATCAAAGAGAGTCCTCTGGAGTGCTGGGAACGGGGCGGAAATTCCCCAGCATCTGTTAAGACGCCTGTCCACTGTTGCTGAGCTTTGGCTCTCAAGGCTAGCTTCTCTACCACTTGAGCCACAGTTCCGCTTCCCATGGACTTTTCTCTCGGGGCTGGCTTCAAACTATGATCTCAGATCTCAGCCTCCTGAGCAGTTAGACGAGCATGAGCCACTGGCTTTCCCTCTCCTCCTCTTCTCTACCCTCCCCTTTCCTCCACTTCTCTTCCCCCTCCTTTCCTCTCTTCCCCTCCCCTTCCAGCAACTTCTGTGGATGGAAGCCAGGGACTGGAATGCTAAGCACACGTTCATCCGCTGGGCCACGCCGCAGCCCCGTGTCTGTCCTTGTGCTGCCCCTTGCTCTGACGATGGATTCTCGGGCTGCCTGTCACCCATGCCCACGGGCCCCCCTTGTGCTGCAGGCCAAGTGTTCCTGACAGAGGTCCAACTCCCATCTGTGCAGCCCGGGCCCGGGCCTGCTCCACCGGCCGCCTGGGTAGAGGCCTGCTCCTGTCCCCGGGGCTACACCGGCCAGTTCTGCGAGTCCTGTGCTCCGGGATACAAAAGGGAGATGCCCCAGGGGGGCCCCTACACCCGCTGTGTCCCCTGCACCTGTAACCAGCATGGCACCTGCAACCCCAACACAGGTGAGTCCCCCAAAACCTAGCAAATGGCTCCGCTGGCCCCAGCATCAGCCTGGCACGGGCACCGCGCCCCTGGCACCAGTGTGTGGACTCACCGTCCACATGTCCATCCCCCCATGTCCAGCCCCTGGCCTTGCCACATAGCTGTGAGGGAGGGCAGGGCACGCTGGCAGAAGCTCCTGGGCATCACCCCAGAGCCACCAACCTGCCACGCTTACCCCCAACCCGTGGACAGTGCTCACACCACCTTGAGGACCAGGCTACCCGGAGGTCAGGAGACACCAGGCCCAGACTGCCACTAGCTGGGAGCTTGGGGTATCAGCCTGGGAAATGTGGGGGCACAAGTCCTTTCCGTCCAGGGCCTGGGGAGATCATGTGACACTGCCACCCCCCTTTCTGGTGGGCTCTGCTTCCCTCCAGGCTCTGCAGACCCCGTCTCCTGAGTTGCAGGGAGGCTGCATGGCCACTAGGTGGCAGAGCTGTGCCTTCCACCAGCCAGAGCATGCTGGTCTCCACCTACAGAGGAGTGGACTGATAGAGACGGGGCCTGGAGGGGGTGGTGGGCAGGACACAGGCTTCTCTCCACCTCTTGCACCTTGGCCTTTCACACCAAGTCACTTGCTGCTTCCCGAGAGCAGATGGAATCTCTGGTACTCCCAGCCCAGGAAAGGCCTCCCTTGCTGTACCTGTGTCAGACATCACCAGTGGAGCCCAGAGGAGGCCTCCCTTCCTATGCCCATGGCAGGCATCACCAGTGGAGCCCAGAAGAGGCCTCATCATCTTTCCCAGACAGTGCTCAGACAGCCTGTACAGCAGAATGCAGCACATCCTCTCTCATGAGATGGGACTGTTACTTTTTGTGTTTTGTTTCTGTCCCCAGAGCCTCTGGCTCTGCCATGGCCACCTGCCCTGTAGATAAGCCTTTATGTATACAATGAGAGCAGCTAGGACCAGGATTGAGCCCTGAGTGCCGACCTCTCGGCTGCCACCCTTGCTTGTCCAAGGCCCTGGCCCCTCTGTCCGCCTCCGCCCTGGGTGCTGGGTGCTGCTGGGAGCTCCTGCGCTGGTGGCTCAGGCAGCCCCACAGTAGGCCTCCCTTCTGGGCACCCCAGGCTCTAAGCAGATGCCAGGTGCTACAGGACTGGAGAAAGGGGGTGCAGAATCCTCTCTTTTCAGACACCAGGCAGGCTCTGATACCCAGCACAAAGGACGGGTGAGCTCTGCGGGCAAGCAGGGGCTGGATGCCAGGGTCTGTGCTCGGGGAGGGGGAGGGGTTTCCTGTCTCCCCCTTGTAGGAGAACAGCAAGAACAAGGCCACCTGTTGGCTCAGAGAAAGGCTTGGCACACAGTCTATTAGTGACAGTAGAAATATTGCCAGGTGTCCGTGTCATCCTAGCTACTCAGGAGGCTGAGAGCTGAGGATCTCGGTTCAAAGCCAGCCCTGGCAGGAAAGGCTGTGAGACTCTTATCTCCACTAAACCGCTCAAAACTGGAAGTGGCGCTGTGGCTCAAGTGGTAGAGCGCTCGCCTTGAGCTGAAGAGCTGAGGGACAGCGCCCAAGCCCAGAGCTCAAAGAAAGAAGGAAATATTAGCCACGTGTGTCAGGAATGTGTGGTACCTTGAACACATGACCTCAGCAAGTCTCAACACAACGGTGGGGGCAACGGCACTGGTATCCCCGTTTTGTAGGGGAGGAGAGGGCAGGGGGAGGGCGGAGAGGTTGGGGAGGAGCGGGGAGAGGGCCGTGTGCTCCCACTCCAGGCCCGGACTCTGCATCTCCCACCGAGGCCCGCCGGCCCGGGGGACTTCCCAGCGGAGGTGGCACTGGGCTGGTGCTGGTCTCACCCTTCAGGGGTCTGCCTGTGCGCCCACCACACCGAGGGCCCCTCCTGCGAGCGCTGCGCGCCGGGTTTCCATGGCAACGCCTTCACCGGCCGAGCGGACGCCTGCCAGCCCTGCCCATGCCCCGGACGGTTGGCCTGCACTGTCGTCCCAGACAGTGGGGAGGTGGTGTGCACCCACTGCCCCCAGGGCCAGAGAGGTGAGCGCTTTGTGGGCAGGGTGGGGGGCTGCCCGGTGCTCTGCCCCTGCCCTGGGTCCAGGGGTGATGTCCTCGGTTTCGTTTCTGGCACGTGGGAAAGGAGCCCAGTTTAGGGGTGGCAGGCATGACATCTGGTGGCCCCGAGCCCCCCAGTCACGGCCCCCAGCCTGAGCATGAGTGGGTGAGCTGTGAGGAGGCCCCGCAGAGCCTGGAGTGGCGGCCTGAGGTGGAGAGGAGGCCTCCATGCTCCCGCTGAGTCCCTGGAGATCCTGACGCATGGCCGACGCCGGAAACCAACCATGGTGGAACTTCTGTTAAGCTTTAAGCTTTTAAAACGTCCTCCAGCCGGGCGCTCGTGGCTTGTGCCGGGATCCTAACTCCCCAGCAGGCCGGGAGCTGAGGATTGCCGAGCAGCGGCAGGCAGGGCTGAAAAGTCCCTGACACCCTTCTCTCCAGTGAAACAGCAAAAAGCCAGAAGTGGAGCTGTGGCTCAAGTGGTAGCGGGCTGGCCTGGAAGAAGGCTCAGGGACAGCACCCAGGCCCTGAGTTCAAGCCCCAGTCCCTGCAAACACACACGCACATGCTCGCGTGCACACACACATACACACCCAGGAACCCGACAGCGTAGGCAAGCGAGGCAACCCACCCTACCTTTGCTGTTGCCACTCCGGTCCTGTGTGGCTCTTGGAGCCCGGAAGGCTCTGCTCTGTGTGGATTTGTGCAGAGGTGGGCCTGTGTGCAAAGACAGGCCAACGCCGTGCTGTACAAGTTTGAGTTCAGCTTCTGAGTCCACGCTGGGTCCCCCAGCTGCCACCACACCCCACAGCTCCCACAACAGCCGGAGGCTGGAAGGGGCCGCAGTGGCCCTGCTCAGCCAGGGCAGGGAAGGCGTCCACGTGACCCCGAATGACCCACTCGAGGGACTTCAGAAAGCTCAAGAAATGGGAGGCAGAGGGGACAGGAGTGATGAGGATAGGATGGGGGAGGGGAGGGGGACGGGGGAGGAAGAGGATGGTGATGAGGGTGAGGGGTGATGAAGAGGACAGTGGGAGGAGGAGGGTGAGGGGTGAGGAAGAGGACGGTGGGAGGAGGAGGGTGAGGGGTGAGGAAGAGGACGGTGGGAGGAGGAGGGTGAGGGGTGAGGAAGAGGACGGTGGGAGGAGGGTGAGGGGTGAGGAAGAGGACGGTGGGAGGAGGACAATGGCGATGGTAGGGAGGAGTGGGGACATGAAGCTGCTCAGCATGGTTAGGTGAAGGCAGGACAGTGACTCAGCGGAGCAGAGGCGGAAGACGCCCTCCATGGTGGCCAGATGACCCCGAGGGAGAGAGGCTGGTGAGGAAGACGGTGATGGAGACAATCAGGATGGTGGCCTGGGTAGCAAGGAGAAGGAGGCGGCGGCATCTACTGCGCCTTCTCTGTGGTCCTGCGAGGTCACTGTCTAGTCCTCCGCTTTACAGACAAGCATGCTGTGTCTGGAGAGGCCCTGTGGCCTGCTGAGGGCAGGCAGCCGCACCCAGATCCTGTGTGGGAACCTGGAGGAGACTAAGGAACTGGCTCAGTGTCAGGCTGGGCTGTCTGGGAGGGGGGCTGCAGGAGGCACTGGTGACCATGTCATCCCCAGGGAGTCCTGCAGGGGGCGCTGGTGAGCATGTCATCCCCAGGGAGTCCTGCAGGGGGCGCTGGTGAGCATATCATTCCCCAGAGTCCTGCAGGGGGCGCTGGTGAGCCTGCCACCCCCAGGGAGTCCTGCAGGGGGCACTGGTGAGCCTGCCACCCCCAGAGCCCTGCAGGGGACGCTGGTGAGCCTGCCACCCCCAGGGAGTCCTGCAGGGGACGCTGGTGAGCATGCCACCCCCAGGGAGTCCTGCAGGGGGTGCAGGTGAGCCTGCCACCCCCAGGGAGTCCTGCAGGGGGCGCTGGTGAGCCTGCCACCCCCAGGGAGTCCTGCAAGGGGTGCAGCCCAGGCCTCCCCCAGGGTATGCTGGTGGCCACCTCTCCTCACCCCTGCTCCCTCCATCACAGGGCGGCGCTGCGAGCAGTGTGAGGATGGGTTTTTTGGAGACCCTCTGGGAGTCCGTGGGGCCCCGCAGCCCTGCCGCCCATGCCCATGCAGCGGGAACGTGGACCCCAACGCCGTGGGCAACTGTGACCCCCAGTCCGGCCGCTGCCTGCGCTGCCTGCACAACACCACGGGCCCCCGCTGCGAGCGCTGTCGGGAGGGCTTCTACGGGAGCGCCCTGGCCCTGCGGCCAGCAGACAAATGCACGCGTGAGTGCCCAGCACCCCAGCCACAGGGGGCGGGGGGCTGGAGTGGGGTTCCTTAGTCTTGTCCTGTCCCATGACCCAGATCAAGTGGCTGAAGACGCCACCAGAACCAGCTAGCCGCTCAGCACCGCTGTGCAGCCCTGCTCAGGTCCCTCTCCTTCTCTGTCTCCTGGACAGAGACTGATGTGTTAGAAGCTCCAATCCCCGACTCTTCCTCTTCTATGCCTTGGTGACATGCTCTTCCCATGGAAGGCGGAGCGTGAATCTGGGATCCCGGATGTTTTTTTCACTGAAGGCTGGCGCTCTACTACTTGAGCCACAGCTCTACTTCTGGCTTTTGGTGGTTTGTTGGAGATAGAGTCTCATGGACTTTCCTGCCCAGGCTGGCTTTGAACCGTGATCCTCAGATCTCAGCCTCCTGAGTAGCAGGGTTTGCACAGGTGCACAGCTTGGCTGTCTCTTTAGCTGGGTCTTTACCCCTTCTTCAGGAAGGGTTGAGGAACATGGGCCCCTCTCAAGGTCTTGGGCTCCCCCAGCTTCTTGGCCTCTGCTGGACCCTAAATGTTAAGCAGATGCATGGGAAAATGTCCTAAAGCCTTTCCTGCACCCCATAGCCTGCGGCTGCCACCCAGGGGGCTCCGTCAGCGAGCTGAGACCCTGCCACCCGGTGACCGGTCAGTGCACCTGCCTGTCTCACGTGACCGGAAGGGACTGTGGTCACTGCTGCCCTGGTTTTTACGACCTCCAGCCAGGGAGAGGCTGCCAAAGGTGAGCGCCAGACGGGTGGGGGGCCACCACTGGCTGGCATTTTTGGGAAGTGCCCACAGATGGGCAGCCTGGGGGAACAGTGGTGGACTCAAGGGAAAAGACCAAGGAAGGCAAACAGGTTTGTCCCTTGTAGGACTTCCCAGAGCCTTTGGTGTGCTCACGCGCTCTGGCGTGTCCGCCAAGGCCTTGGGTGTCCGGTGTCCGTGGCCTGGGCTGGGCCGGGCGTGGCCACGGCAGCTCACGGCCGGTTCTCCCCACGCACACAGCTGCAAGTGTCACCCACTGGGCTCCCAGGAGAATCGGTGTCACCCTGAAACGGGCCAGTGCCCTTGCCGCCCGGGGGTCACCGGCCAGGCCTGCGACAGGTGCCAGCTGGGCTTCTTCGGCTTTTCTGCCAAGGGGTGCCGGGGTAAGCGAGCAAGGTTTTCCCGTGTGCGCCCGCCCTTCCTGAGCTCGGGTCTGGGGGACACTGAAGCATGGCCATCTCCACTCTGATCTGATGGGAGGCCCCAGGGAAGGGCCGAGGACTCTGCTCTTGGGGCCGTGGGATCCTGGGGGCCCCCCAAGGCATCCGGGAGCAGGACAGCCCATGAGACACTCACCCCCCCCCCCCCCGCAGCTTGCAGGTGCTCCCCGCTGGGCGCCGCCTCCGCCCAGTGCCACGAGAACAGCACGTGCGTGTGCAGGCCCGGCTTCGTGGGCTACAAGTGTGACCGCTGCCAAAGCAACTTCTTCCTCGCTGCAGACGGCAGCCACTGCCAGGAGTGCCCGGCCTGCTACGCCCTGGTGGAGGAGGGGGTGAGCTGCCCGGGCTGCCCCGCCTTCCCCTGCATTCCACGCGCCCCTTCTGTGAGCGCCAGCCCCGGGCGGGACTCGGAGGCCAGCATGCTCACCCACGGCCCCTGGGCCTCCTGTGCCTGCCGGCAACCTCGCCGCTGCTGCCCACCCGCCACCTCTCTCTCCTTCCTCGGCCCTTCTCCCCTCCACCTGCCAGCTCCTCCCTGGCCCACCCAGCCTCTGGGCTCTTCCCCATTCCCAGTGGGCAGGACTAAGGGAGGTCCTGACCTCCTGGGCCTTCTGGGTTCAGTGGGGATGAGGTGATGGATGACACTTCACAGAGAGGAGACACCATTCCGGATGCAAACCACTGTTTTGTTTTGTTTTGTCGGTCATGGGTCTCGAACTCTGGGCCTGGGCACTGTCCCTACGCTCTTTAGCTCAAGGTGAGCACTCTACCACTTGAGCCACAGCGCTACTTCTGATTTTCTGGTGGTTTATTGGAGATAAGAGTCTCGCAAACTTTCCTGCCCAGGATGGCTTTGAACCACGATCCTCAGATCTCAGCCTGCTGAGTAGCTAGGATGACAGGCATGAGCCACTGGAGCCTGGCACATACAGCGTTTTGAGCAAGAGGAGGGAGGGACCAGATTCAGAAGTTTGAGCCTGGCCCCCACCCATGGACTCTTCCCCCCAGCCCTGCCCCACCCCATGGCTGTCCTGTGCATGGCATGGTTTGCTTCCATGTCCTCTTCCTAATCTGTATCCGAGGTATCTTGGTTCCCCAGCCCCTTCTAGGACTCCGGTGGGCTTCCAGGATGCAGGGTGCTGTAGAGACAAGGTGCTGTGTGCTGAGTGCTAGTGCCACCCGCAGGGGTGAGCGCAGCCCTGCAGCAGCCCTGACACTGCAGAGCGAGCTTATTTGCACAACTTGCATCAGGAGCTGACACCCTCCTGTGTGCCTGAGCAGGTTCAGGGCAGATTTTGCCACGGAGAAAGGGAGGGGGGCTTAGGGTTATCAGAGGAGTCAGGACTCTGCGGCCTGGCCCTCGCTTAGGCCCTTGTTTAGGGGGTTCTGAGGTGAGCAGGGCTGTGGCGGGCATCTATGGCTGGGCAGACTGCTGTGTGCCCCACTCCTGTGGTTGCTGTGTGTGTGGTTAAAAGCTGGGGTTCGGAGCCAGGCACTAGTGGTTCGTTCCTGTAATCCTAGCTACTCAGGAGGCTGAGATCTGAGGTTCAAAGCCAGCCTGGGCCGGAAAGTCCGTGAGACTCTGATCATCAGTTAACCACCAGAAAACCAGAAGTGCTGCTGTGGCTCAAACTGGTAGAGTGCTCGCCTAGAGCCAAAGAAGGGACAGCGCCCAGTTCTTGAGTTCACATGACTGACCAAAATAAAAAGAGTGCAAGGCCCTGAGTTCAAGTCCTAGCATCAGCACAAGCAAGCAGGGGCTCAGGACAAAGCGTGGCAGACTCATGGGTGCCCGTGGCAGCCGCTGCGCCTCAAGTGTCGGTCTGCGGAGGGCTGAGAAAGGACGAAGGGAGGCAAGGGGGGAGGGGCTCGGCCCTGAGATGGGAGCCGTGGGGAGGGCAGGCTGGACAGACCCCAGGAGTGGGTCCCGCAGGGCTTCCCGGACCTCAGCCCCACACGCCCGCACCTCCGGTCCCCTGCAGGTGGCCAAGCTGAAGGCCAGGCTGGCGCTGGTGGAGGAATGGCTGCAGGGGTCTGACTGCAGCAGTCCCTGGGAGCCCCTAGACATTCTTCAGGAGGAGACCCCGCGGGGGGACGCCTACCAGCGCCACCTGCTGCCAGGTACGAGGGTAGCAGCGCGGGAGGCCGGGGAGCTGCCTGGGGAACTGGAGGCTTGCACGGCGCTCAGTCTTTTTTTGGGGGGGCCAGCCCTGGGGTTTGAACTCAGGGCCTGGGTGCTGACCCTGAGCTTTTCTTTCTTTTTTTTTTTTTTTTTGGGTCCGGTCATGGGGCCTGAACTCTGGGCCTGGGCGCTGTCCCTCAGCTCTTCAGCTCAAGGCTAGCGCTCTACCACTTGAGCCACAGCGCCACTTCCGGCTTTTTTCTTTTTGCTTATGTGGTGCTGAGGAATCGAACCCAGGGCCTCATGCATGCAAGGCAAGCGCTCTACCACTGAGCCACCTTCCCAGCCCCCTGAGCTTTTCTTTTACCCAAGGCTGGTGCTGTAGCACTGAGCGGTCCCTGGAGGCCTCTCTGAGAGCTGGCTATTTTGAGATAAGGTCTCCCTTCTTGTGCATGCCTGGACTGCAGTCGCCTGTTTTAAGCTTCTGTCATAGCTGGGGTGGCAGGTGGGCCCTGCCACACCCAGCTTGCTCGATTGAGAGGGAGTTTTGCAGACTTTCCTACCTGGCTGGCCTTGAGCTGCTCGCTTCCTGTTCTCAGCTTTCTACAAATCTAAGATGATGGTCAGGCCCCATGGTCGAGACGGGATCTCTCACATGTCTGCATCACTGGCCTCAAACTGTGGGCCTCTTATCAGCAGCCTCCCAAGAGCTAGGATGACAGGCTTGAGCCAGAATAGGCAAATCTGTAGACAAACAGTGGATGAGGAGTTGCTGGGGGCTGGATGGGTTAAAGGGAAATGGAGGGATGCTGGAAACGAAACAGATGCTGGGGTTTAGGGATAATAAACATGTTCTAATAATAACAATAAATAATAATAATAAACATGCGATTCTGGAAAGGTACAGAAACCACTGAATGGCACAGCTGGTGCGTCACTCCAGGGGCGGGCGGGGCCCAGGGGCATTGTTCAGAGTCTCCGCTGCTCTGTGACCCAGGCTGTGGTGCTTTTCCGCAGGGGCCCGGGAAGCCTTTCTGCACCAGATGACCGGCCTGGGGCGAGCTGTGAAGGCCGCAGGGGAGCAGCTGCGGGTGCTGGACACGAGCGCCCGCTGCGATGGGACTGGCGACGGGAAGACCTGCAGCCAGCTGGCTGACCTCAGGGTGGTGCTGGCGTCCTCCGAGGAGGAGATTCTGCAGGCAGCCTCCGTGCTCACCTACCTGGTACCCGGGCCCCAGGCCCTCTGAGCCCAGGCGCAGATCCTGGCCTGGCCCTGCCCTTGACCTGCTGACCTCGGGGTGCCTGGCCCTTTAGGGGAGACCTAGTGTCCCCTTCAAGCAGGGGAGGGGGAAGGGGGTGGAGAAGGTCTCACGGGCGTCCCTCCCTGGCTGATGAAGGCCTTGTGTACAGACAGAGCTCGTTAGCCGCAGCCCGCGAAGGCCCAGTGACTTTCTCTACATGCCCAGCTCCAAACCCACTTGGTGGCTAGTGTGGCATCATGTAAAATTCCTGGCACCTCCCGATTCTGCCCAGTGTAGCCAGCTGTGGCCTGACCTTCGAGGCTGGGCTTCAGCCCTCACCACCCGCCCACCCCCCCCACCCCGCATCCTTACAGGTGAGGCTCCCGGAAGGGCCTGGCCACCCCACCAACTGGAGCCACCTGGCCACAGAGGCACGGGCCTTCGCCAGGAGGTGAGCCCCGGGGCGGGGCGGGGCAGGCCCTGCCCCTCACTCCCCAGGGAGATCTCAGAGGGGCTTCAGGGTGACCAGCAGCCCACAGGAGCTGCCCAGTGGGGCACAGATGTCAGGGGAAGCGGGCGTAGAGGTGGAGGCCCAGGCTCCTGAGCACCAACGGCATCTGCGCTTCTGATTGCCTTTCCAAAATCACAGCTTTAGGAGGCCGGGAAGGTGGCTCAGTGGTAGAGCGCTTACCTGGCATGCCTGAGGCCCTGGGTTCGATTCCACAGCACCACATAAGCAAAAAAAGCTGGAAGTGGCACTGTGGCTCAACTGGTAGAGCGCTAGCCTTGAGCTGAAGAGCTGAGGGACAGCGCCCAGGCCCAGAGTTCAGGCCTCCGACAGACATAAACAAAAATCACAGCTTTAAGCTGGTCACCCATGGCTTGTGCCTGGAATCCTAGCCACTTAGAGGCTGAGCTCTAAGGATCATGTTTCAAAGCCAGCCCAAAAGAATAGTCTAGGGGACCCTTATCTTCAATTAACTACCAAAAAGCCAGAAGTAGAGGTATGACTCAAGTGGTAGAGCTCCAGCCTTGAGCAAAAGAGCTAAGCCAGAGCATAATACCCTGGATTCAGGCCCCAGTGCCAGTAAGAGCGTGCACACATGCACACGCGCGCACACACACACACACACACACACACACACACACAGAAAGAAATGATAGAAAGGCTCGTCCACATTGTAGCGTACATGAGTACTTTGTTCCTTCTTCTGGCTATATAATATTCCAACCTATGAATGTAGCTCATTTTGTTTCCCCTGTCATCCAGAAGTCGATGTTTAGGTTGTTTTTATCCACTGCCTATGAGGGTTGGAGGCATAGCTCAGGTGATAGAGCACCAAACAATGAGCAAAATTATTAGATCAAGAGTTTGAGTCTCAGTCTTAGACAAAAAGAAAAGGAAGCAAGCAATTTTTATCTTCACCTCTAGGAACTTCACAGTCATTTTACAGATGAGGGAACTGGCTCAGAGATGTCAGGTGTCTTGCTTGAGGATGCACAGCTTTGAAGTGATAGAGTCAGGACCGCCCCCTCCCCGTGCGGCTCTCTTGGCCGCTCTCCCGCACTGTACATGAGAGTGACCTTAAGATCTGTTGGCCCAGCTGTGATGCCTTCAGGGGTGGTGAAAGCCTTGCCTGTCCCCGTGCTGGGACAGAGGAGGGCTGTGGGCGGCCCCGGCCGGTCCCCGCCATGTGGCAGGCAGAAGGGAGGCTGTCCAGAGGAGGCCCGTGGAGCGGGGTGCGGCCCGGGCTCTCGGTGAGGCTTGGGGTGACTCACAGCCACAGGGACACTGCGGCCCAGGCGGGGGCCGCCGCGCAGCGCGCCCTGCTGGCCTCCGACACCAGCGCCCTGCTGCTCTGGAGCCTGGTGGACGATCGCGAGGCCCTGGAGGCCCGGCGGGAGCTGGAGGACAGGTGAGGCCTCCCCAGGAGAGGGTGGAGGCTTGGGGTCACCCTGCAGAGCTCATGGGGCCCAGCCAGCAGCTGCCGGTCCTACAGCCAGCTTCCCGTGAGCCCCGACGATCGGGGTGCCGGACATCTACGGCACAGTCCCAGTGAGAGCATGGCGTCCCGGGATGGAAGGGCTGAGAATGATCCAGAGCAGCGTGCCTCCTCCCTCTGCCCCCTGGCGGTCCTGTGTCTCCCCTCCCAGACCCGCACCCCCATGGCCGCCTTCTCTGCTCTGGAGGGCTTCCTCAGTTCAGAGGCCAGCGATGCCCACAGCATTGAGAGAGTCTGATTGGCCCTCTGGGATTGCATGTCCATGGGGCAGGGACTGGGCCGGGCCTGCTGTGGACAACTGGACAGCACAGGGGACACACCCTGCTTGAACCCCTGCTTGAACCGAGGGCTGAAGGGCCCAGCAGGGTCACGCAGCCAGGGCAAGCTCCGCCATCAGCTAGTGATTACGACATGGCTGAGGTCACCAGCAAGGGCCTGGGCACGTCCCCCCCCCCCCCCTGGCCACTGGGCCTCCCGTTTGCTGCCCTGCCCATCCTGACCTCTGACCTCTGTTGCTTCCCAGGTACCAGGAGGTCCAGGCGGCCCAGCACGCACTGGACACAGCTGTGGCGGAGGTGCTGCCCGAAGCTAAGCGGGTGCTAGCCACAGTACAGCACCTCACAGTTGATACGGCTCTACACCTGGCCTTGCTGGCTGCCCCCGGGGTGCCGGTCAGTTGGAAATCCTCAGAGATCTGCATGACGCAGGGTGGGGGTTCTAGCAGCTGCGGGAGAGCCCCCCACCTCCCGCCTCCAAATTAGAATTGCTCATTTTAATGACAGGCCGCTCTGGCCCCTTCTCTGTCCCGGTGACATTAGCAAGGATGCCAGAGGGACGGATGCTGAAGTCCCAGCTCTGTGACCGTGGCCCGAGCCACAGTGACCTTGTGGGCATCAGGGACCTCACTCACCAATGAGGCTGAGCTGCTCCAAAGACACAGGGCTCATCCTGTCAGTGGTTTAACCTGAAATCCCCACGCTTAGAGACTCCGCCGTGGGGGAGCCCTAGGCTGGCTGGAGCGGGGGGTGCTAGGCTGGCTGGGGGTGCAGCTCCACGGCAGAGCGTGTGCTGAGTGAGCACCGGCTGCTGGTCCCATCCCTGGCAGTGGAAAACCAAACGCGGCAAGCTTAACCAAATGCATTCGGGACGCAGCTAGCATGGAGAGTGCAGCTCACAGGCAGATTTTTGCACGGTTCCACACTTCCAGAGTGTAGGAAATTCTGATTGTGAAGAGCATGTGCCAGGGTTTCTCGGGAGGGAGACAGAGGAAATACGGGTTAGGCAGATTGGCTGGAGTGGCCCCAGGCCACCTAGAATTGATGAGGCTGAGCCTCCCAGCACAGCACCCCGCTACATGCAGCCACAGCCTCCCCGTCTGCCCCTCGGAGGTGCCGGGGAGCATAAGGAAGTTGTCCAAGTCTGACAGAAATGGGGATTTGGCCCCCAGGACTTGTCTGAGCCCATGCCACATTCTCCCCCCCCAGCCTCAGAAGTCACCAGCCAGAGAGCTGGGGTTGAAAGTTCGGGCCTTAGAGCGAGCAGCCACCAAGCGGGTAGAAGCCTTGCAGGCCTCGGCTCGCGCGGCCCTGCAGAAGACGGAGCCGCTCACACGGGTCAGCTCAGGTCCTTTTCTTCTTTACTGTTTGTTTATTTCTTGTTTGTTTGGTTGGTGGGTTTTGCCCCTGTTGGGTTTTGAACTCAGGTCCTCATTCTTTTGTGTTTTTTTTTGGTCTGGTCGTGGGGCCTGAACTCTGGGCCTGGGCACTGTCCCTCAGCTCTTCAGCTCAAGGCTAGCACTCTACCACTTGAGCCACAGCGCCACTTCCAGCTTTTTTCTTTTTGCTTAAGTGGTGCTGAGGAATCGAACCCAGGGCCTCATGCATGCAAGGCAAGTGCTCTACCACTGAGCCACCTTCCCAGCCCATCAGGTCCTCATTCTTTTGAATGACTCTTTCCTCTCAAGGCTAGCTCTCTACCATAGCCAAACTTCCGGCTTTTTGATAGTTAGCTGGAGATAAGAGTCTTTCCTGCTGTGGCTGGCTTTGAACTGCAATCCTCAGATCTCAGCCCCCTAGGTAGCTAGGATTACAGGCAGAAGCATCAGCAGCTTTGTCTTTGAAACTGACACCAGGAGGCAGCAGGGGCTGCCCCAGAAGAGGATCTGGGCTCAGAGGTCAGGGCAAAGCCAGGAACGAGCTCTCTCTATTTCTTTTTTTTTTTTGGTCCAGTCGTGGGGCCTGAACTCTGGGCCTGGGCGCTGTCCCTCAGCTCTTCAGCTCAAGGCTAGCACTCTACCACTTGAGCCACAGTGCCACTTCCAGCTTTTTTCTTTTTGCTTAAGTGGTGCTGAGGAATACAACCCAGGGCCTCATGCATGCAAGGCAAGCGCTCTACCACTGAGCCACCTTCCCAGCCCAGCTCTCTCTATTTCTTCCCAAACTCTAGAAAACCTAAGAGGACCAGGCGCTGGTGGCTCACGCCTATAATCCCTAGCTACTCAGGAAGCTGAGATCTGAGGATCACGATTCAAAGCCAGCCCAGGCAGGAGTGTCTGTGTGACTCTTACCTCCTGTTAACTACCAGACAACCTGGAGTGGCACTGTGGTTCTAGTGGTAGAGCACTCGCCTTGAGTTAAGAGCTCAGGGACGGAGCTGGGAAGGTGGCTCAGTGGTAGAGCGCTTGCCTTGCATGCAGGAGGCCCTGGGTTCAATTCCTCAGCACCACATAAGCAAAAAGAAAAAAGCCGGAAGTGGCGCTGTGGCTCAAGTGGTAGAGTACTAGCCTTGAACTGAAGAGCTGAGGGACAGTGCCCAGGCCCAGAGTTCAAGCCCCATGACCGACAAAAAACAAAACAAAACTTCAGAGGACAGACAGGTGGACAGGTAGCTGGGTGGATAGGACCCAGGCCCTGACCCATCTTAGGATCGGCGTGAAGTGACACAGCCTGGTGTTCACAGTTGAGGAGAGACCCCTGTTAGATGATTAGACTTTGCCAGAGAGCCACGCAGACATCCAGGTGCAGAGAACAAAGAAAGTTTATTGCTGGGAAGGGGACCGGCAAGACCCCTTCTCACAGGGAGGAATGAGAAGCAGCGCAGGCTATTGTCTGGGGTGACCTACATTACCTAGGAGGTCTAGGAGGGGCTGGAAGGGGCTAGGAGGCGGAGACCCTGGTGTGGACGCATGGGCCAGGGGCTTCATCATGGTGGACTAGGATTTATGGCTGCTGCCCAAATAGTAGACAAGGGTCCTGCAGCTGCCCAGAGCTGAAGGTCACTCTAAGGGGCTCTTGCTGCCTTCAGTGGTGGAAGCTGCCCCAGAGAAGTGCCATCCCGAGGTAAAGGGGGCTGGCGGCTGTGATTTATTGCCTTTACTACAGGGGCCTGGTGTTGCCTAGGAAGGGAGCGTGCCAAGCTGTGGGGAGGGGAAGGGGACTAAGCTATGGGAAAGAAGCGCATTGGGCTAACAACCCCTGTATAGTCGGGGATCGGGGAGAATAGCACAGGGATTGGATATGGGACAGTCTCTCCTTCCCTTCTTAAAGCAATTTCCCGACAGGTTGCATTGTTCTGTTTTTTGCATTTTTTTGTTTTGTTTTGTTTTTGTCGGTGGTGGGGCCCGAACTCTGGGCCTGGGCGCTGTCCCTCAGCTCTTCAGCTCAAGGCTAGCGCTCTACCACTTGAGCCACAGCGCTACTTCCAGTTTTCTGGTAGTTTACTGGAGCTAAGAGTCTCATGGCTGTAGCTCAAGTGGTAGAGCGCTAGCCTTGAGCTGAAGAGCTGAGGGACAGCGCCCAGGCCCAGAGTTCAGGCCCCACGACCGCCAACAACAAAAGCCTGTCCTGGCACGTGGTGGCATGGGGCCGCTGTCTCCCTGAGGAGGGGCCGGCTAGCCTGGGCGGGCCCCGGGGCTCCTTCTGCCTCTGAGCTGCTATGGGACGGGTCTTCTTGGTAGAGACTTAGGGATTTGAACTCACATAGCGAGACACTCCAGGTGGTAACTGGTAGCGGGCCCCTGCTTTCTTCCCTCCAGCTGCGCCAGGAGGCCACAGCGGCCCTGACCCGCGCGTCCGCAGCGGTCCATGCCGCCACAGTGACCGTCACCGGAGCCAGGACCCTGCTGGCTGACCTGGAAGGTATTGGTGCTTCCCTGGGGCTGTGGGCTGTGGGCTGCATGAGCCTGGGCCCCCTGGCACACCCTGGCTCTAGGGTTCAGTTACAGAGCACCTTTGGGGGACTGGCCCCCAGCACCTCCAGACCACGCGCAGAGCCCCTGGGGACCCTTGGGAAGAGAAGTCACAGTGCCGCTGTCCACACTCAGACGAGCCCCTGCTGGCTGGGAGCTCGGTTCCCTGAGCAAATATGGCCTCCTGACTCCTTTAGAAAGCAGCTCGGGCTGTTCTGAGCTGTCCTTCCATGTTCTAGATGGAAATGAGCCGCTTTGGTCCTGCTCCATAATCCACACCAAGAGTAACCTCCAACCACAAACCCACACCCCCTCCTCCCCTCCACCCGGCTTCCCAGACACCTTCTCCTCTGCCAGCTCCCAGATGCCACATAAAAATATGGAGCCGAGGCTCACGCCTGTAATCCTAGCTACTCAGAAGGCTGAGATCTGAGATCGAGGTTCAAGGCCAGCCTGGGAAAGTCCCCATGATACTTTTTTTTTTTTTTTTTTTTGTCGGTCGTGGGGCTTGAACTCTGGGCTTGGGCACTGTCCCTCTGTTCTTCAGCTCAAGGCAAGCGCTCTACCACTTGAGCCACAGCACCACTTCCAGTTTTCTAGTGGTTTATTGGAGATAAGAGTCTCACAGACTTTCTTGCCCGGACTGGCTTTGAACCGAGATCCTCAGATCTCTGCCTCCTGAATAGCTAGGATCACAGGTGTGAGCCACCGGCGCCCGGCTTCCCCATGATACTTTTATCTCCAATGAACCACTCAGAAAACCGTAAGTATGGCTGTAGCTCAAGTGGTAGAGCGCTAGCTTTGAGCTGAAGAGCTGAGGGACAGCACCCAGGCCCAGAGTTCAAGTCTTATGACCGACCAAAAAAAAAGAGAGAATGCCAAGAGCTGAGAATGTGGCTTAGCCGTAGAGTGCTTGCTTAGCCCTGGGTTCAATTCTTCAGCACCACATACACAGAAACGGCCAGAAGTGGTGCTGTGGCTCAGTGGGTAGAGTGCTAGCTTTGAGCAAAAACAGATGCTCAGGGACAGTGCCTAGGCCCTGAGTTCAAGTCCCAGGACTGGTAAAAAAAAAAAATAGAGCCAAATAGAATGTGGTGGTGCCTACCTTTAATCCCAGCACTTAGGAGACAAGAGGATGACAAGTTCTAGGCTGGCCTGGGTCTTCTGTGGAGTTTTCTGACTTTAATAGGTGATAAGCATATTACGTAGGCCTTGCATATTGCCTGTCATGCGTTTTACTGTATGTGCCCTTGGAATACAGTGAGCATAGTGTCACGGTTCTCCGGGGGCATTGCAGGAATGAAGCCGCGGTTTCCACAGCCCCGGGACCGGGCCACACTGCAGAGGAAAGCAAGTGTGGTCCGGGGCAGGGTCCTCGCAGACACAAAAAAGAAGACCAAGCAGGCAGAGAGGATGCTGGGAAATGCGGCATCTCTCTCCTCCAGCGCCAGGAAGAAGAGCAGAGAAGCGGAGCTGCTGGCGAAGGACAACGCCAAGGTCAGGGGCAGGGCGACAGCCAAGGCCACATCTTCCTGCGTTCCAGGCCATAGAAGGACTGTCACTTAACATCTGCCCTCCTGTAGCTTCAGCACCCTGAGATCCGCCCCCACCCAGTGACCAGGGCTATGGCTAGGGTCTCCACTGGCAGCTCATGAACTAGTGCCATTGCTGTCCTCATAGAACACAGTGGACACACAGGCCCAGCTAAGTTTAGCTTTATTAGCAAAACCTTTCCTTCCTTCCTTCCTTCCTTCCTTCCTTCCTTCCTTCCTTCCTTCCTTCCTTTCTTCCTTCTTTCCTTCCTTCCTTCCTTCCTCCTTTTTTCTTTTTTTTCTGATAGTCCTGGGGCTTGAATTCAGGGCCTGGGCACTGTCCCTGAGCTTTTTTTTTTTTTAATGTATATTTTATATTTTTCTATTGTAAAGATCCTGTACAAAGAGGTTACAGTTACAAGAGTAAGGTAATGAGTACATTTCTATCAAGCATTGTTACTCCCTCCTTTATTTACCCCTACCATCCATCCCCTCCCCCCCCCACCCTGGGCTTTTTTTTTTTGGGTCCGGTCATGGGGTCTGAGCTCTGGGCCTGGGCTGGCTTTGAACCACAGTCCTCAGATCTCAGCCTCCTGAGTAGCTAGGATTACAGGCGTGAGCCACCCATGCCGGACTTTTCCTTTTTTTTTTTTTTTTAGCTTACATTAGTTATACATAAACTTCTAGTTTTTTGTTGTTGTTGTTTTCTTCTCCTTTCCCCTTCCCTCCCTTCTTCTTTCCTTCCTTCCTTCTTTCCCTCCTCTCCTTCCCATGGTACCGGGCTTTGAACTTGGAGCTCTACACTTGAGTCACACCTCCAGCCCTTTTTACTTTTAGGTTAATTTTCAGATAGGTCCTGGCTTTTTTTTTGCCCGGGCCAGCCTCAGACTACACCCATGCCTCCGTTGTAGCTGGGGCCACAGGCGTGAGCCTGTGTCCAGTCCAGGCTTTTCTCCCAGCCCTGTTGCTGGCTGTGTTACCCCAAGTGAGTTGTCTTTATGCTTGTCTAGATTTTGAATAGGCTGTGTGTGTGTGTGTGTGTGTGTGTGTGTGTGTGTGTGTGTGTGAGAGAGAATATTGGGGCTTGAGCTCAGGGCTAGGGTGTTAGTGCCTTAACTTTACTGTTCAAGGCTCCACTTTCAGCTTTTTGCTGATTAATTGGAGATAAATAGGCGCTGGTGACTCACACTTGTCATCCTAACTACTCAGGAGGCTGAGATCTGAGGATCAAGGTTCACAGTCTGCCTAGGTGGGAAAATCCATGAAACCTGTATCTCTAATTAACCACCAGAAAACTGGAAGTGGAGCTGTGGTTCAAAGTGGTAGCACACTAGCCTTGAGCAGAAAAGCTCAGAGACAGCACCCAGACACTGAGTTCAAACCCATGACCTACAAGAGAGAATGGGAAGGTGCCTCAGTGGTAGAGCGCTTGCCTTGCACGCCTGAGGCCCTGGGTTCCATTCCTCAGCACCACATAAGCAAAAAGAAAAAAGCCGGAAGTGGTGCTGTGGCTCCAGTGGTAGAGCGCTAGCCTTGAGCTGAAGAGCTGAGGGACAGCGCCCAGGCCCAGAGTTCAGGCCCCACGACCGGACCAAAAAAAAAAAAAAGAAAGAGAAGAGGCAGAGAGAGACTCTTAGGACTTTCCTACTTAGGCTGCCTTCAGACCATGATCCTCAGATCTCAGCCTCCTGAGCAGCTAGGATTATAGGCGTGAACGATCAGCACCAGGCAAAATAGCAAGATTTCAAGATGCCCTGGACTTGCTTTCTTGTCCTGCCACTCACACTTTGGCTCTTCTATGCCCTTGTGCCTCAGTTTCCCCATCTGGAAAAGAAGTGGAATTTCTCCTCTAGAAAAAATTGCAGATTGATGCCCAGGGCATGTTGTTTGTACATGAGGAAGACTGAATGAACAAATGAATGAATGAGTGAACGCGGGCAGACGACTGCTCGCCCTTGTTGCCTTCAGTGCATTCCCTCCAGAAGGACTTGCTCTGCTCTCCGTCCTCGCAGCTTTCCAAGGCCGTGCTGAGGGCGGGGAAGCGAGGGCAGCGCCGGGCGGGTGGGCTGGCCAGCCAGGCGCAGGCCACCCTCCAGCAGGCCTCTCGGCTGGCGAGAATCTCCGGAGCTCGTCGACGGGAGCTGGAGGCAGCTGAGCAGGTAGGTGTGCCAGGGCCCTGTGCCAGTGCCCCCGTGCCTGGCAGCCAGGCGGGTGCCGCTCAAGCTGCCCCTTCCCTCCCAGGTGAGTGCAGGGCTGAGCTCTCTGGAGCGCCACATCCGGGCATCGCACGTCTCCCTGGAGAAGGACATCAAGGCCTTATCCGAGCTGCTGGCCAGGCTGGGTAAGGCTGAGACCCAGACCCAGATCCCAAGTCCCTGGGTCTCCTTCTCTGCCCACATCCATGGCTCCCTACCCATCCTATGGTCAAGTGGAGCCAGACCCTGCACATAGCAGGCAGTGTCTAAAATGAATTCCCTTGGAATAACTTTGTCTGTTTGTCTGGGGCTTGAATTGATAACCTGGCACTGTCTCTTAGCTCTTTCACTCACGGCTAATGCTCTAGTGCTTGAGCCTCAGCTCTACTTATGGCCTTTGGGTGTTTAATTGAAGATAAGAATCTCTCAGGGGCTGGGAAGGTGGCTCCGTGGTAAGAGTGCTTGCCTAGCATGCATGAAGCCCTGGGTCAATTCCTCAGTACCACATACACAGAAAAAGCTGGAAATGGCATGGTGGTTCAAGTGGTAGAATGCTAGCTTTGGACTAAAAGAAGCTCAGGGACAGTGTCTAGGCCTTGAGTTCAAGCCCCAGGACTGGCAAAGAAAAAAAAAAGTCTCCTAGAGCCAGGCACTAGGGGCTCACACCTGTTATTCTAGCTACTCAGGAGGCTGAGATCTGAGGCCTAGGGTCCCAAGCCAGCCTGGGCAGGAAAGTCCATGAGACCCTTATGTTTGATTAAATAGCCTAAAGCTAGAAGTAAAGCAGTTGTTCAAATAGTAGAGCACCAGCATTGAGGGAAAAAGTTAAGGGACCGCACTCAATCCCTGAGTTCAAGCCCCAGTACTGGCACACACACACACACACACACACACACACACACACGTACAAAAATCTACAAAATACCAGGAACAGCATCTACAGAAGTGACTAGCCCCCCACAGGGGCAGTTCCAAAATCTGTACATGAGCCCACAGGGAATTGGGGTCCTGATGCTGTTGGGGTGTGCGTGCGTGCACGCGTGCGTGTGTGTGTCTGTCTCTCTGTCTGTCTAGCTGCTTGAGCTACACCTCCACTTCTGACTTTCTTGGTGGTTCACTGGAGATAAGAGTCTCACAGATTTTCCTGCCTGGGCTGGCTTTGATCTGCGATCCTCAGATCTGAGCCTCCTGAGTAGCTGAGATTACAGGCGTGAGCCACTGGTGCCCTGCTGAACTTGACTTCTACTGAGGCTGTTTGTGCTCCACTGCAGGGTCACTGGACACAGACCAAGCCCCTTCCCAGGCCTTGAACGAGACCCAGCGGGCACTTGACAGCCTGAGGATGCAGCTGGGCTCCCAAGGGGCCCTGCACAGGAGGCTGCAGCAGCTGGAGCAGGAGTCTGAGCAGCAAAAGCAGCAGATCCAGGACTTTGAGAGCGACCTGACTGAGATCCGGGCTGACAAACAGAACTTGGAGGCCATTCTGCACAGCCTGCCTGAGCCCTGTTCCAGCTGGCAGTGAGGACCCCAGGCCCCTTGCGTATGCTCCTCCCCGAGGTGTGTGTGGACATGGCGCCGTCAGAACTGGCAAGCCAGGGGCCCCGAGTGAATGCTCACACCCCCTTCTCAAAGTGTGCAGATCTCCCTGGCTGCCCTGTGTGTGAAGCCCTTGTGGTGTGCGCTCTGCAGGCCCACACATACGCATGTGAGTGTGTGGGAGGGGGAACACATATGTGCATGCTCCCGCAACGGGCCACAGCTGTGTGCTGGGCGCCCTGTGCCTGCCGGACGGACCCTGTGCTGTTAAATTCTCTACAGTGCTGAAGCTCTGAGCAGGGGCCCAGGCAGCCTGGGCATCTGGGAGGCTGAGGGGCAGGGGCCCTCGTCACTGAGGGTCCCAGTGGCCCAGCTGGCCTACTGCTTCCGGGAGCACAGATCACATGGAAGCCATGGCCAGCGGGGCCAGTGCCTGAGGGAGCAGACAGACCAGACAATCCAAGGGCCCGGGAGGGTTCTCAGTGGGGGCATCAGCGATTCCGGGGCTCCGGCCGCCAGAGCACGCCTGCTAGGCCATTGGGGCAAGGTCCGCTCCTGGCAGGGGTGTCTTCTTTCTCCACCTTCTTCCCAGGATCTGAGTGTGCAGCAGACTGACTTACTGAAGCCACTTTCTGCCCTGGCCCCAGGCCCCTTCCATCCGGTGACCTGCTCGAAGAAGCCAGGCTCCCGGGGGTCTGGAGGGGCCTGAGAGAGGCCACCAGGAGCAACCCTATGCCCCCTGCTGACCCAGCCAGCCTTGGATGGACACTTCCTGAACTGGTCCTGTTGCCTCACCTGCCACCAAGGCAGCCCCGGGGGCTGTGCAAGCCTGGCCGCCCTTCCCGTCTAACCTTGCCCGGGGAATGCTCCTGTGGCCAGGCCTGTGGTGGGGCCCTCTTCCAGGATTCCCCCTGCATTTCCTCCCGTGCTCTTCTCCCCTTTCCTGGGGCCTCTTCTAGCAGGCCAGGGCCTTGGCCTGGGTTGACAGGCCTCTCTGGACCCAGTTCCTCCCCTGAGTCCAGGGAGGGACAGGCAATGAAGAGGAAATAAAGGCTTCCTTTCTGAGGTGGGCGTTGTATCTGATCCTTCGCAGCTTTGGGTAGCCAGGGCCTTGGCTGTGGGTGCACACGGGACACACAGGTGAGCCAGAGATCCCTCTGGTCCCTACGGAGAGGGGTGGGGCCAAACCTGGATGGCTAGCAGACTCCACCCTCCTCGCAGCAAAGTCTCCACCCAGTACCTGCGTTACCTAGGCAACTGAGACACCTGGAAGAGGTCACATCTGCATCTGCTGAGGTCACATCTGAATTTGATGTGGCCACACCTTTCCCCGCCCATACCCTACATAAGGCCTAGCCCAGGCCCAGACTCTCTCTTTTTCTCTCTCTCTTCTTTTCTAGCTCTTGCTCTTCTTTTCTAGCTCTCTCTGCTCTGTCTGCTCTAGCTCTTTCCTCTCTCTTTCCCAGCCACGTGGAGTGCCAACCTTGCCTGGTCCCAGCAGGTCTACTGAATAAACCTACCCCTTACCTGAATACCACGTGCGTGGTGCAGTTCTTACTCGGCCACCTCTTTTTAAAAACCTAACACGATGTACTATACCATGTCTGCAGCTTGGCTGGGGTCCTGTGGCTACCGACACCCCCTTTCCCTCTTATATCCAGACTAAGTCTAGGTGCCAGAGGAGCCTGAGAGATGGGGTACAGAGAGGCCTTCAGCTGACCTCTGGAGACACAGGCTGGAAACAGTGACCAAAGCCTCAAGGCTGGGTGTGGTAGTTTATACCTGTAATCCCAGCATTCCAGAGGCACAAAGATAGAGGGTTTGAGGGCTGGTGCTCCGTAGTGAGATAATGTTGAGAAACAAAATAAAAACAAAAGTGCAGCATACTGTACTGCAAAGTGAAGCAGGGAGGGATCTGTCAGGAAGGCTTGGGGCTGGCCTTGAAGGGTGGGAACACAGAGGAGGGGACAGTTCAAACAAGAGGGTTGGCGGTGGCCCAGAGTTACCCACTGGGGGGCCTGGTCAGCCCAGGGAATGTTTGAAAGGTAGATCGTGGAGCATCTTCTGTCTGGAATCTTAGCCACAAGGCCAAATACTTCGTGAGTTGGATTGAGCAGAAAAGGGGAGTTGGTTGGGAGGGTCTCTCGGAAGCCTGGGAAAGGTGGCCAGGCCTTGGAGATAGCCTGGGGCCCAAGCTTGAGCCTCTGGGATGGAGGACTGCCTCTTCCTCTGCGTGCTCCCCCCAGAGGCTTGGCCTCCGCTCCCCTCTCCCTTTGCTGCAGTCTTTCCCTGAAGAGCTACTTCCTTTGTCTCACCTGCCCCCAGGCCCTGGGTTTATACGTCATCAGATCAAATGCCAGAAGCCAACTAGACACTCAGGCTGACCCCAAGCTCCCCAGGGGGAGGTGGTGTCCAGCTCTATTTAGGATGGTGTGCATCTTTGGGTCCCAGGTCATACAAAGAGAGTGACCTTTGCCTCCCCGGCTAACTAGTAGAGGACAGCGTTGGGAGAAGAGATGAAGGGGAGAGGCTTGGTAGATTTTTTAGGGCGAAGGTAGTCTATATTAGGATGTGAACTCAGGGCTTGACTGCTGTCCCTTAGTTCTTTCATTCAAGGCTGGTAGTGCTTTACCACTTGAACCACACTTCCACTCCAGTTTTTTTTTGTCGGTCGTGGGGCCTGAACTCTGGGCCTGGGCGCTGTCCCTTGCTCTTTAGCTCAAGGCTAGCACTCTACCACTAGAGCCATAGCGCCACTTCCAGCTTTTTCTACTTATGTGGCGCTGAGGAATTGAACCCAGGGCCTCATGCATGCATGGCAAGCGCTCTACCACTGAGCCACCTTCCCAGCCCAGCCACACCAGTTTTTTGTTGGTTAACTGGAGATAAGAGTCTCATGGACATTCCTGCTCAGGTTGAGCTTGAATAATCTTCAATTCTCAGCCTCCTGAGTAGCATGAGTGGTATGAGCCACTGGAGGGGCCCGCAAGCCAGGTACCCTATTCTTCAAAGACCTCTGGCTATTGGGCCCCAGCTCTGACCCCTCGCTCCTCTGCTGGTTAATGCTCTGGTGCCTGCTCATCACGCTCAGTGGGAGTGGGAGTTCAGTGCAGCCCAATCCCAGCCCAGTCCCCACGGGGTGGAGACTCTCCATTCCTCGGTGATGAGCCTCCGGCCTGACACAGGACACAGAGGCTTGGTCACGCCCGCTGCGTGCAGAGCTCCACTTGTCAGCACAAGAGGTGGAATGTGGCAGCTGCTGAACATCTGGCCAGCAATGCAGCCTAGCAGCTGAGCAATGGAAGGTGGGGTGCCCTCCACCCACTTGACGGCTGACCCGGGCCAACAGCCAGGGCAGCAGGGAGGTGGGGCCCCTGTGCTCTGTCTGTGCGCCTCCTTGGCCTCCTGTCACCCTCCACGCACTCAGGATCTGCTTAAACCACCCAGGAACTAGTCACTTGTTTTTTTTGTTTGTTTGTTTTTGTGTTGGTCCAGCGGTTTGAATGCCGAGCCTGGGCTGTCCCTGTGCTTCTTTTAATTTTATTTTTTGTTGGTTGTGGGTCTTGAACTCTGGGCCTGGGCATTGTCCCTGAGCTCTTCAGCTCAAGGCTAGCGCCACTTGAACCATAGTGCCACTTCCGATTTTCTGATGGTTCATTGGAGATTAAGAGTCTCACAGAGCTGATTGCTGGTGGCTCACGCAGGTAAAACTAGCTACTCAGGAAGCTGAGATCTGAGGATCGAAGTTCAAAGCCAGCCCCAGCAGGAAAAGTCCCTGAGACTCATCTCCAGTTAACCACTAGAAAACTGGAAGTAGCGCTGTGGCTCAAGTGGTAGAGCGCTCACCTTGAGCTGAAGAGCACAGGGACAGCACCCAGCCCCAGAGTTCAAGCCCCATGACCGACTTTCCTGCCCAGGCTGGCTTTGAACCGGGATCCTCCGATCTCAGCCTTCTGAGTAGCTATGATGACAGGTGTGAGCCACTGGTGCCCAGCAGAAGCAATCAATTTTAATGCCTTATCTATCTCCCCCATTCTGCAGATTTAGAAACTGAGGCTCAGATGACTTGTCTTGCTCCGGACTGTACAGCTTGGCGGGATGCAAACCTTAGGGGTGTGTGGGGTGGAGGGTGATGTGTGGGGGGAACCCGTGGAGGGGGGGGAGGAGGTAGCCAACCCTCAGCCCCCTTGGACTGCGCCTCGCTCCTCCCTGGGGTAGCCTGGCCACTTCCGTTCCCAGGTGCCCCTGGAACCAGAGAGGGACAGGCGGGGTGGAGGCAACCTCGGTCCAGATCCACACCCTGGGCAGCCGGCCTTTCCTCATGAGTGGGCCCAGGGGGGCGGCTCACTCTCCCGGGAGCCCCGGTCGGAGCCCCGCGGGGCGCCGCGCTCGCAAAGCCGCACTGCGTGGAGCCCAGAGCCAAGACTCGAACTTACGAATGGACTAGGGGGGAGGTTCGGGGGTCCGAGCGGCATCGCCGCCGCACCAAGGCCACGAGAGCCCGGCCGCGCTCCGGCGCCAGGGCGCGCGGGGTCCCGGGGTCCCGGGGGTCCGGGCCGGGGCGGGAGGGCCGGCCCCAAGGTGCATTTTCCGCGGCCTCCAGCAGAGGGGCCGGCGCGGGCGCCGCTTCCCGCGGAAGGGGCCGGAGGCGGGAGCGGGGAGGGGAGGGGAGGGCGGGGGAGGGCCGGGGCGGGCCGCCAGCCGGGCAGGGGTGTGTCCCGCGCCGCGCGCCTCCCCGCCCCGCCGCCCGCCCGCCACACGCCGCGCGCGCTCTCGGAGCCGGCGGTCGGCGCAGCTTTTCCCCGGCGCTGGCCGCGAAGCCCCGAGCGGCGGGAGCCCGGCGCGCACCATGTCGGTCGCCGTCAGCAACAGGTTCCAAGGTAGGCGGCGCCGTCCGCACGAGCCCCGCGCGGTCCCCGCGCTGACCCCCGCGGTCCCCCGTTGTTCCCCGCGCTGATCCCCCGCGGTCCCCCACTGTTCCCGCGCGGTCCCCCGCTGTCCCCGCGCTGTCCCCCACTGTTCCCGCGCGGTCCCCCCGTTGTCCCCCGCTGTCCCCGCGCTGTTCTCCGCGCGGTCCCCCGTTGTTCCCGCGCGGTCCCCCGCTGTCCCCCCGTTGGTCCCCCGTTGTCCCCGCGCTGACCCCCCGCGGTCCCTCCCCCGCGATCCCCCACTGTTCCCGCGCGGTCCCCCCGTTGTACCCCCCCGCTGTCCCCGCGCTGTCCCCCCGTTGGTCCCCCGTTGTCCCCGCGCGGTCCCCCGCTCTCCCCGCGCTGTTGTCCGCGCGGTCCCCCGTTGTCCCCGCGCGGTCCCCCGCTGTCCCCGCGCTGTTCTCCGCGTGGTCCCGGTCCCGCGTCCCGGGGCCGCCACCTGTGGGTCCGGGGAGGATGGCGGGGCGCGCGGGGCGCGGGACCCTCCCCCCCTCCCCTGCCCGGCCGCCCTTTGTCCCCGCAGGAGGGAAGGCGTTTGGTTTGCTCAAGGCCCAGCAGGAGCGGAGGCTGGCGGAGATCAACCGGGTAAGCCGCCTCGCCGCCGGGGGCCGCGCCCCCTCCGGCCGGGGCGCCCCACAGCCCAGCCCTGGGTCCCCTCGCCCCTCTCCCTTCTCCCCTCCCCGCTCCCCCGGTCGCCCCCCGCCGGGTCTCTGGTTGTGTTGTTACCCTGGGGATGGGGTGCGGCGCCCCGGGGCTCCCCGGGGCCGGGCTTTGGTGCAGGGGGACCCCCAGGCCGGGGCCTCCCCAGGCCGGGGCCTCCCCGGCCATCTCCGCCCACAACACGCAACTTTTAAGAAACTTCTTTTAGGAAACTTTCAGAAAGGTGGCCTAAGGGACTGGATGGGACTTTGGCTAATCCTAGGGAAGGGGGCACGTGCGCTCGCACTTGTGCAACACGTACTTGTGTGTGCGCTCGCACTTGTGCAACACGTACTTGTGTGTGCATGCTGGCCTCGGGCTTGAACTCAGGGCCTGGGCGCTATCTCTTAGCTTTGGTGCTCAAGGCTACAGTGCTCAACCACTTGAGCCCCAGCTCCACTTCCTGCATTTTTGTGCTAATGGGAGATGAGTCTCACAGGCTTTTCTGCTCTGGCTGGCTTTGACCTGGGATCCTCAGATCTCAGCCTCCTCCTGAGTAGCTTGAATGACAGGCGTGAGCCAGCTGTGCCTGGCTTAGCCCTGGGTAATTTATATGAAGAAATCCTTCCTCTGGTGCCAGGCCCACACAGGAGCTCCAGAGATTGGCTTAATGACCTCCCCACACCCTAGGAGACAGGGCCCTCTCCAGGGCCCCTGGATGGGTGGAACCCAGAAACAGCACAGCTAGCCTCACCCTCCCAGGGTCCCAGACTTAAGGCCTCACCTCTGCTGTGTACCAGCTCCTCTGTCATCTTCAGCAAGGGCTATTCCCTGCTGAGGCCACCCCATGGAAGGAACTAGAGCCAGCTCCTGAGGAGGTGACATCCTCTCTGCCCAAGGAACAAGGCAGGACATTCTCCCTGTGGACTCCTTCAGGACACTGGACTGCCCAGGGGCAGAGCCGGGCTCTGGGTGCTGGGTGGGTGGAACTTAAGCTGTGGGAAGTTGGAGTAGGGACTGCTACGGGGGATCCCCTGAAGGGCTTTGGGCATCTCGCTGTCACCCTTTGCTTGGCTCTTGGTGCCATCTTGAGTGAGACTGTGAGGTTGCCTGGACCTTTGGGCTGGACTCAAGGTCCAGGCCTGCTGGTCCCCTTCCCAGTTCCCTCTGCCCCAGCCCCGCCCCGGTCCTGGCTGCGCTGTCTCTGGACAGAAGCCTGGGTCCCTGACCTCACACAGCCCCCCTGGGCCACTTGGCTGGGCACAGTTCCCAGCTGGCCAAATCCAGGACCCTGAGCCAGAGACAGCTGGAGATGGGGAGGGTGGGGGGAGCTGAGAGTTTGTGGGATTTTCTGTGCCAGGCCCACCCTCGGGGAGGCAGATAGGGGTGGAGGATGTGTTTGGGGGAGTTGAACTGATTTGGCTCAGAAAAGGGGAGAGTCTATGGCTATCAAGAGCTAATTTGGAGAGCACTGGAACTGGCGTGAAAGTTCAGGAAAGGGCTGTGGTCTGGCCAGCTCAGGAGCCCCAATTCCCAGAGAAGACAGGCAGCTGACCCAAGGCCCCACAGGAAACCAGGGACAGAAATTGCAGTCTAGAGTCCCTTCCTGGCCTGGTTGCAAGTCTGAGACCTATTCCATGAGCCCAGGCCGCTGGAGAGCTGTGGTCCAAGGCATGGCCCCTGGAAGAAAGAGCCTGAAGGACAAACGCTGAAGCTGGGAGCTGCTTCCCGTCCTAGCAGATTCGAGATGGCCTTACTGTCATTTAGAATCCTGAGGCAGGTAGTCAGGGACCCACTGTGAGACCCAAGGCAAACTGGTTCTCTCTGAGCCCGCCTCCCTGCCCGCAAGAGATCATGAGAACTGTCATCTACAATGGACCATCTAAGGAGAGCTCACAGGAGAGCCGGCTGCCTTCATGATCACTACTGGTTTGGGGGGAGTGTCTCCAGAGTCAGGGAGTAGGCCTGAGATATATGGGGGCCCATCCTGGGTGCTCTCCCTGCCACAGCCAGTGTTGGTTGGCAGGGGAGGGGCGGGGTGGAGAGTAGCTCTGCTTGAGTGGTTCAGCCATGGCCAGGACTGTAGGAAAGGTGGCCCAGGATGGCATATTCTGGAAAGAGCTGGCTTGGTGGCCTTGGAGTACAGTTTTACTGACCAATGGAGCACAGGTTGGGGGAGGGGAATAGGTGGGTGTAGAGATGCAGGACCAAGCATTGTGACTCATTGCTTCGGGTCCCTTGGCTGCTGTCTTGGACAGCAGCTTCAGGGCTTCTCTGAGCCAACATTCCAGTTCCCTGGGGGGTCTTTCTCCTCCCCTGGTGCCAGCCAGCGTGCAGAGGGCAGCGTGGTAGCTGAGTCTGAGCAATTGTTGTCATAAAGTATTCAAGACTTAAGGGTCGAGGGGGCTGGGAAGGTGGCTCAGTGGTAGAGTGCTTGCCTTGCATGCATGAGGCCCTGGGTTCGCACCACATAAGCAGAAAGAGCCCCAAGTAGTACTGTGGCTCAAGTGGTAGAGCGCCAGCCTTGAGCTGAAGAGCTGAGGGACAGTGTTCAGGCCCCACAACCGACCAAAAATAAAAAAGATGTAAGGGTCGAACTTGAATTGGTGGGTCTGGTGAGGTTCCAGGGCAGCTCTACAAAGTGCCACTTTTTTTTTGGGGGGGGTGCCAGATTTGGGTCTTGAACTCAGGGTCTGGGTGCTATCCTTTAGTTTTTCTAACACCCTCTCTTAGCCTCTGTTTCTGGCTTTTTGCTGTTCAGTTTGGATATAAAAGTCTTAACAGACTTTGCCTGCCCAGGCTGGCTTTGAACTGTGATCCGCAGCTCTCAGCCTTCTGAGTAGCTAGGAGCCACTGGTACCTGGAAATGCAGCTTTTTGAGGGGGTTCTTTTTAGTTTCTGCTGTTGTTTTCTGGGCACTTGGACTGTGCTGAGATGCCGAGTGTGACCCTGTGGAGAGGCTGCACTCCCATATCTCACAACAACCCTGAGAGAAGTGAACTGCCAGGCTTGAAACAGCAACCACTTGAAGCTGGACTATTCATCTGCTCCATCTCTTTTGTGGGTACACCCCCCCACATACACACTGTATGTGTGTGAGTGTGTGCGCGCGTGCGCGTGTGTGTGCACATATGCATATCAGTGCCTCCTACTCCCTTCACATAGCTGGCATTCCCCGCGTCCTGATGGCTTGGGAGGTGACCCCAGGCCAGCTAGGCCTGGCCTTATATGGCAACAGGAGAAATTATCTCCAGCTTTCCATAGGGACCTAGAGAAGCCGAGGCTGGGCGGGCTGCACTTTAGCACTGCTGTGCCCCAGGGCCAAGCCAGGAGGTAGGCAGCTGGCAGAAGCTCGAGCTGTTGGCCACCAGGACCTTTAAACACCATGACGTGAACTGTCTGGTGGTCAGGACTGTGGGTTGCAAGCCTGGCTCCAGTGGCTCACCCCTGTAATCCTAGCCACTTAGGAAGCTTCTGGATATGGTTCAAGGCTAATTGAGCTTGAAAGTCCCTGAGACACTTGTCTCCAATGTATCAGCAATAAAGCCAGAAGCGGAGGTGTGGCTCAAGTGGTAGAACACTAGTATTCTGTGGAAAAAGCTAAAGGACAGTACCCAGGCCCTGAGTTCAAGCCCTAGTACTGATGTGTGTGTGTGTGTGTGTGTGCACTCACATGTGCACGCTCACGTACACAAGTGTGTTGCACCTATTCATGAGTCTGGGGTTTGACATCCTTATCCCAAGATCTCTAGCATCCTACTTATGAGTGCTGCAAGAATCTCAGACATCCCCGTGGGGCAGAGATAATGATGATGCCCTCCGGTAGAGGGAAGGAAACTGAGGCTCAGCCTGATGAAGTCACTCACCCAAGGTCACCCATCCCTGAAATAGCTGCAGAAGCAGGTTTCCAACCAGACTCCGCCCAGAGCCTCGCCCAGCTCCCAAGCACCCAGTGGCCACAGCGTAGAACTGAGGTGCCGGCCTCTCCTGCTTACACGGATAAAGATCTCTGGCTTCCCTCCCTGTGTCCCAGCCCTCCTGGGTCAAATGAAGGACACCCATTATTCCCGGTCACATTTAGGCACCTGATGGGTATTTTGGTACCCCAGGTTCCATCTCTGCAGGGATGGGCAAGCTGGCAGGACAGACTCAGGATCCCTGCCTGGAGGGGTGTGTGTGTGTGTGTGTGTGTGTGTGTGTGTGTGTGTGTGTGTGTGTGTGTGTGTGTGTGTGTGTGTGTGTCCTCTGTCCCTCCCACAGTCACGAGGGGCCCCTGAGACCCTGTCCCTTTCCCTGTGTACCTGGCGGTGCCATTCACTCCCTGTGGGTGGGGGGAGCAATGCACCTGGTTGGCATTGTGGGCACCTCGTCTCTCTTGCTCATCCTTAATATATAATAAGGGCGATGTCGATAAGGGAGCACGTGAGCCCCGGGGATTCAGTGTCCCCTGCAGGTCCAGCCAGTTGGGACCAGCTCTGGCCATGTCACAGGCAGCTGGAGATGGAATTTCCGCAGGGCCGCTTCATTGCTGTGGTCACCGGGGTGTTTTTTTCCTCCAGCCGCCCCACCTATTGGCCAGGACGCTTTGTTCAGCAGAGGCCCTGGAGCTGCCCTGGGGAATGTGAGCCTGCTGTCCCCTGGGGTGCCGGTTACAGGCTCCGGCCACTCACCAGGTGCCGGGCCAGGCGTGTGTGACCTGTCCCTGGCCTTTTTACAGCCTGGGGGCTGCGTCACAGGCCTGGCAGTGCTGGCCCGCCCGGTGTCTGTCCTTGGAGTTCTTACCGGATGAACTCCAGCATGGTCATATCTGCTCACCCCAAAATTCTGCTGCGGCTGATATGTAAGGACAAGCCCGGAAGGCCAGGAGCAAGAGGCATGAGAAGGTGCTCGAGGTACTAGACCAGAAAAGGGAGTTAAGTCAGGCAGTTGTGACAGGTGTCAGGGCG